CACTGCACATCCGATACAAATTGAAAAGCTATATTATGTATATGTTGTTTCATGTTATTGTTTGAATGTTTGTTTGTTTTTTCCTCTTATTTTTCTTTTGTTTTTGTCCTTTGTTTTTTGTTTGTTTTTTTTAAAAGAAAATCTCAATAAAGTTTAATTAAAAAAAAAAAGAAAGAAAGTAAAAGAAACAATAAATATACTACAAGGGCAATTCAATATGTTAATGGCTGATCAGGTGGCAACTAGTTTACAATATGCTAAACATAATACATTTTGTAATTCCAGTAAACCAGGTAGGTGGTTGGCCTACATGTTGAGGAAAAAACAGAAAGCACGAGTCATTAGTAAGATAGAATATAGAGGTAAGGAAGTTTACCAACAGAATATGATTAAAAAGGCTTTTTTGGAATTTTATACAAAGCTATATGCTAGTGACTCAATACAAGGTATAGATATAGATAGATATTTAAAGGAAGGGAATATTTTGGAACTAACGTTGGAACAGAAGGAAGGACTGAATCAACCAATAACTTCTGAGGAGATTGTTGCGGCAATTAAGCAGTTAAAAATAGGGAAAGCTCCAGGAACAGATGGACTAACAGCTGTTTATTATAAGAACTTACAGCTTGAAATGGTAGAGCCGCTTAGAACTCTATTTTGTAAAATTCAATCAGGGGGAGGAGTTCCACCCTCTTGGAGAACAGCTTTTGTTTCATTGATTCCGAAGGAAGATCAAAACTGTATCAAACCTGAAAATTTTAGGCCAATTTCACTTTTGAACACGGATTACAAAATTTTTGCTAAGATACTATCGAATAGATTAATGCCAGTAATGCAACAAGTTATTCACAATGACCAATCAGGTTTTATAAAAGGGAGACAGATGAAATATAATGTTAGGCAAATTATAAACTTATTGGAATATTTGGAGAAAAATAATCAGGTCCCTGCAGCGTTTATATTCGTGGATGCAGAGAAAGCATTTGATCGACTGAACTGGCAATTTCTGTTTAAAATAATAGAAAAAATGCACTTTGGGGAGTATTTCATACATTCAATTAGAGCAATATATCAGGAACAAACAGCACAAATAATAATTAATGGACGTTTAACAGATGTGTTTAAAATTGAGAAAGGTACGAGGCAGGGCTGTCCCTTGTCGCCATTGTTGTTTATTTTAACTTTAGAAGTTTTGTTGAATAAGCTACGTGATTCTGACAAAATAAAAGGAATTGTAATTAGACAGCAGGATTATAGATTAAGAGCGTTTGCAGACGACCTGGTTCTCACTTTATCTCAACCTATAGAAATGGCTCCCTATATGTTGGCTATAGTAGCTCAATATGGTAAAGTATCTGGATTCAAAGTAAATCTACACAAGACAAAGATGATAACTAAAAATTTATCTATAACTCAAAGAGAAGAGTTAGGGAGGATAACGGGGTTTGAAGTAGTTAAAAAGGTTAAGTATTTAGGAGTATATATTGCAGCCTCAAATACGAAATTGTATAAAAATAATTATGAAATTCTTTGGCAAAAAGTACAGAAAGAAATGGAAAAATGGAAAAAGTTACAACTATCATTACTGGGAAGGATAGCAGCAATAAAAATGAATGTATTACCTAGGTTTTTATTTTTGTTTCAAATGATACCAGTGCTTAAAAAAGATGGAAATCTGATGGAATGGCAGAAAGGGGTTAATACTTTTATTTGGGCTGGGAAGAAACCAAGAGTGAAACTGAAAATTATACAGGATATACGTGAGAGAGGAGGTCTTAAAATGCCTAACTTAAGATTGTATTATGAAGCAGCAGCTTTATCACAAATTAGTGATTGGTTCAACTTAACTGAAGAAAGAATGTTAAACATAGAAGGTTATGATTTGTTATATGGATGACATGCTTATTTGTTGTATGAAAAAAAAAGTGGATAAAGTGTTTAAGGGTCATATATTCAGAAATGCATTGTTGAGGGTTTGGAAAAAGTACCAATATAAGCTGAACTATAAGATACCTATATGGGCAAACCCCAGACATGTAATAGAAAATATAAGTACAGAGCAAAAAATAGAGGTGATTACTTACAAAGAGCTTCTTCTTTTGGAAAGGGGCAAGTTGCAATTGAAATCTCTAGATGAATTAAAAGAAGAAGGGATACTTTATACTTGGTTTCAGTATGGTCAGCTCCAAGCTAGATGGAGGGAGGATCAAAAAATTGGGGTTATGCAAAATGAGGAAAATTTGGTGAAACAGATTAGAGAACAAAGTCAGATGCATATTAAAAGGTTGTATAATGCATTACTGGAAATAGACTCAGAAACTGAATTGGTTAAGGATTGTATGATAAAATGGGCACAAAACTTTCAGGAACCAGTGATGATGGAAACATGGGAAAAAAATTGGGTCAGAAATGTTAAATTTACGCAAGCACAAAATTTGAGAGAGAATTTTTATAAAATGTTTTATAGATGACACTTAGATCCTAAGAAATTATCATGTACGTACTCGAATTTGCAAGCTAAATGTTGGAGATGTGAATGTAATGACGCAACCTATTATCATATATGGTGGACTTGTAAGAAAATCAAGGCATTTTGGATAAAAATTTGGTGGGTGATGCAGAACATTTTGAAAAGAAGGTTGAAATTTACTCCTCAATTGTTTCTATTGGGTATAATTACGGACTGTACAGTTTCAGAGATTAAATTGATTTTGAATTTAATATCAGTAGCTAGGCTGCTGGTAGCTCAATACTGGAAGAAGGACTCTGCCTACTATTGAAGAGTGGATATTGAAAGTAACAAACCTAGCAGAAATGGTGAAAATCTCGGCGTACTTGAAGGACCATACGCAAGAAAGATACGTATCGGAATGGAGAAGATGGATTGATTATATTCAAAATAAGTATCAGACAAGAAAATATCAAATAGCTTATGAATGAATGTTAGTATTAGAAGTATTTGGTTATCTGTAGTGGAGTTAAGGTTTCAGTGGGGAAGGCAGTACTTTGAGGACAAGTAGATTAATCTAGTTTATGTTTGATTAAATGAAATACCTTGTATTTTGCTCTGGGAAGTCGGGGGGGGGGGGGGAGGGTGGGAGGGGGGGGGGGAAGGGGTGGGGGAAGGGGGGGGGAAATTCTTTGTATTTCCTTTTTGTAAAACTTTTCAATAAAAAAAAAGAAAATAAAATAAAAATTAGCACAAACTAATATAAAGGAAAGGAAAAAGAAGTATAAGAAAAGAGAAGTTAAAAAAAATGAAAACAAAGAAAAAAGATATAAAGAAGTAGCTTCTGATATTCTTGATAGCAGTTATAAGTAGCACTATATATTTAACCTCTCTGTATCCTAATTATCAAAACTATAATCACATTTTTTTACACAAAAATCCCATCAGCGGATTCCAGTCACCAATACACAACATCTTTAGGAACCAAGGTTGTAAAGTGAATTTTTTTTTTTTTTTTAATTTGATTTATATGCCGCCCTTCTCCGAAGACTCAGGGCGGCTTACAATGTGCTCAGCAATAGCCTTCATACTTTTGTATATTTATACAAAGTCAGCTTATTGCCCCCACAAACTGGGTCCTCATTTAACCTACCTTAGAAAGGATGGAAGGCTGAGTCAACCTTGAGCCTTGGAGAGATTCAAACCAGCAGTAAATTGCAGGCAGCTGTGTTAATGACAGGGTGCACTAAACCACTGTAGTACCAAGGCTCTTTTTGGCTTCCCCATTGACTTTGCTTGAGCCCAACCCTCATAAATTTGAGCCAGCTGCCGAGCGTCTGAATTTTCATCACCTGATCATGGGAATGGGGCCGGGTGAAGTCATAAATCACTTTTTTCAGTGCCTCGTAACTTTGAATGGTCACTAAATGAACTGTTGTAAGTTGAGGACTATCTGTACTTTCCAGAACAGTATTTCCCAGCAAACCTTCCAGTGGAAGGTTTTTCCCAGGAAGCCCCTGAAGGGCTCCTAACTCACATCCTGAGGACACACACAAAGGGCGTCACATATCACTGGATCTTGGGGAAACACTTCTGAGCAGCGAGGACTTGGGGGGGGGGGGGTGAAGGGTGTTGGCTGTTATGTCCACATTGCCTGCTTAGCTGGTGCTGCCACCTAAACACCCCCCACCCCAATTCCTAGCAGCTCAGAAGTCTTGGCTGACCTCGCACAACAGGCTGCGGTCAGCACTCAGAGGGGAAACCTGAGGGTTAGAAGACGGGGGTGGGGGGGGCGCCCATGGTCCAGCATCTCTTCCCTGAGGGGAGGGGAGGGGAGGGCCAGGGGACCACTTTCGGAAAGAGTCGGGCAGGGCCTGCGGGTGAAGGGAGGGCTTGGCGTTGGAAGCTCCTCCGGGAATGCAGCCTGAATCGCCCGGTGGTAGTCAGGACTGATAGCTGAGCGGAAAAGAATCGCCTGGGAAAAGCCCTTCGGGTGGGCAAGGGGCGCTCTCGGCCCTGCTCGTTCTGCGAACTCCGCCCCCCCCGCCCCCTTCTCCCAGCCCGGACCCTCCGGCCTGGCTCCCATCTGCCTCCGTCTTTCCGGCCTCCCGAACAGGACTCCGGCCCCGGCGGGCTCTGACCGGACAGACCCCCCCCTCCCCGCCTCCTGCGCTCCCCTGGACGCCCCCTTTGGGCCGGCCGCAGCTCAGGGCCGGAGGGGTCCTCGGGGAGAGCCAAGCCCCGCCTCCCCCCCTCCCTCCCACTCCCTCCCCCCCTCCTGGGCGGAGGCGGGGGCGCGCACTTCCACGGGAGCCAGGGAGGCTGGCGCGCGCCCTCGTGTGCGCGCCCGGGAGGCGGTTCCCTGCCCGCCCCTCCCTCCCTCCTCCTCCCTCCCGTGCTGCCTAGCGGCGCGGGAGGCGGGCTGGAGTTTAAATCCTGCCGGCCAATGGGCAGCGCGCTCGGCCGCCCGTAACGCTCCGGCTGCGGCTTCGAAGGCTCCGGCGGCGGCGGCGGCGAGCGAGCGAGCGGACGGGCGAGGGCGGCGTTGGCGTTGGCGTTGGGGGGGATGAGCGCGGCGGTGCCCGGCAAGGGCTCCCGGCCGGCGGGGGTGGCGGTCCCCGGGCGAGGGGCGGCCCCGGCGCAGCAGCAGCAGCAGCCGGCGGCGGCGGCGGCGGGGTCGGGGTCGTCGGCGCCGGAGAGCCGCGCGGTGCCGGAGGTGCTGGTGGACCCTCGGAGCCGGCGCTGCTACAGCCTGGGCCGCTTCCTGGGCAAGGGCGGCTTCGCCAAGTGCTACGAGATCACGGAGGCGGAGAGCCGCGAGGCCTTCGCCTGCAAGGTGGTGCCCAAGGCGCTGCTGCTGAAGGCGCCGCAGAAGGAGAAGATGAGCATGGAGATCGCCATCCACCGCAGCCTCCAGCACCGCCACGTGGTGGCCTTCCAGGGCTTCTTCGAGGACAGCCACTTCGTCTTCGTGGTGCTCGAGCTCTGCCGGCGGCGGGTAGGCAGGGCGGGAGGGAGGGAGGCGCGGCGGAGGCTCCTGCGCTCGGCCCGGCCCGCCCGTGCCCGGCGGGAAAGCGCGGCAGCTCCCCCCCCTTCCCTCCCCCCCCGCCCCACGGACGCCGTTGGACTCCAAGGAGGCCCGGGAAAGCCGGAGGAGGGGGCGGGGGGGCCGGTCTGGGGCGAAAGCGAGCGTTGCCGTCGGGGATCGGTTCCCCCCTTCTTGGCGTGGATCCTTTCTGGCGCTCCCGGGGAAAGCGGGGCTCCTCCTTGCCGCAACGGCTCGGCTCGGCTCTGCCGTCGGTAGATGCCTCAATGCTGCCTATGATGCGAAGGGCTGTGGGGCTGAGCTTGGGGGCAGGGAGAGGAGGAAGGCAGCGCTGGGCTGGGCTGGGAGGAAGAGGGGCCGCAGCCCTCGAGAGACCCCCGGCTGTCCAACGGCTTCTCTTCCTCCCATCCATCTGGAAGCCTCTGGGAGGACTGCCTCTCCCTCCGACTTAAGAAAGTAAAATGAAATTTAGTATTTCAAAAGGAACCTTTTATTAAGCAGAAGTGACAGCAATGGCTTCAAAGCAGCGTCTTAGGCAAGACAAGCAGGATTAAAGCCTGCATAGCTCTGCAGACAAGGCACTGCAATTTAACACCAGCTGCCTGCAATTGAAGTAAGTTCGAATCTCTCCAAGGCTCAAGGTTGACTCAGCCTTCCATCCTTTCTAAGGTAGGTTAAATGAGGACCCAGTTTGTGGGGGCAATAAGCTGACTTTGTATAAAATATACAAAAGGATGAAGGCTATTGCTTAACGCATTTGCAAGCCGCCCTGAGTCTCTGGAGAAGGGCGGCATATAAATCAAATTTTAAAAAAAAAGCAGGAACCACCCCTCCCTTTAGCCAATCCACAGGTGTGAAGATGCTCTTTTATCAGCTGCCCTGAGAACCAGATAAGCAGAGATTCCCATGGCTATCAAAGTGAAACATCCCACATGGCCTTCCCTCCTATACCTTCCCCAAGAGGTGAGAAGCTCTCAGGGCGCTTCCGCCTCAGGATGCAAATTATAAAATACCAGTTGTCACAGGCAATATTGAATTCTCCCAATTGAATGGCAGTATCACTTTTAGGGATGTGGCAGCCTCTTTGGGCTCCTCCCTGTCCCACCTTGGGTGAAAGCAAAGGGAGTGACTTTATGATGTCTTGGGCAGATCACTCCCCCCCCCCATGCCTCCCTCAGGTGAGTTTTAGAAATTAAAACCCCTTTATTATAGCCAAAGACCAGCAAAAGGAGGGTGGGTTACAAAGAGTTGAAAAACATAAAAGATACATCAGGCTTAAAATTTACATGCAATAACCTAGAAATATAGAAACTACCTGTAGAACCTAAAACGAAGGGTAGGAGCAGGACATCCTGTAGTGGGGCCTGGCAAGCCAGATCTGTGACAATGCTGGGCACTCTAGAATAAATCACTAGAACTGGTTTATGGCACAGGACATAAATTGAATAGAATACAGCCTTGCTTGAAGCGTGCCTATTGGATGAAGTAGACATCAGTCAATTGAGGAATCTCCTGCACTGAAGTCTAGGAAGGGGCATAAAGAGAGGCTGTCTTGGGTGGGGTTGGCGCACTGACCAGTGGCAGAAGGATCATCTGCTCCTCTGCAAGTATCTTCCAGCCAGTTTCCCTCTTGGGTGTCTTGCTCAGAGTTTGCGGATTGTGTTAAGGAGTCCGATTAGGATGAATCATCCTTCCCCCCCCCCCTTATCTATATATATATGGGGACAATGATCACAATTGATGCAGGTAAAGGGCGAGGCCAGGGTGAGCCCCCCAGAAGCCCCAATTATTATTAATGGCTCCTAGAGGGATTAGGTCTTCTGGGGTCTTCCCTGGTCTTAGTTGGGCAACAAGATTCTTGATCTCTGTCATTGGTGCCCATGTTGGCAGATTTTGTAGAGTTTAGCTGGGGCGTCTACTTCCAGGGGAGGGAGATATTCTGAAAGAATGTTTCCCGGGTCCCTGGGGGGATGCGATGGTCCAACTGTGGCTGGGCCGTTTCTTTGGGAGCTTTACAGGATGTGCCCGAAAGATCTGAGTCATTGGATCCAGCTGCCCAAATGAGCCTGTTTCCCATTTCCTCTTCCTCTTCCTTCCATGCCAGCAGTTGCTTGTAGTATCGTTTCTGCTGCAGGAGATCCTGTGCTGCTCCTGGTGTAGAATTGGATACGTAGGTCTACTAAATGACCTGAAGCCATTAGTTCAGTTATCCTTTTATTTAAAGGGGGGGGGGGGTCCGTGGTAGTAAGTTCTTGTTGCTGGCATGATAGGGGTTGGTAGCAGGAGGTGATTCTTGATTGAAGGCATTTAACTGGAGCAGGTTTGGGAAGGGGTTGCTTGCAAACTTAGGGATAACTCCCAGGGCCTCTGCAGGGGGGCTAATCACTCTGGAGGTGAATTTGGCTGGATGGTCTTTTTCAAGGACACCATTTGGAATGCAGAGGTTCAACCTGAGGACTGTTTGGGCCAGGGAGAAACCTGCCAAGTTTGATTTGTGGATTTTTGAGCAAAGGGTGAGGAGGAATCCATCATCTTTGGGATTGGGGACGGAGGGATTTCTGCTTTGGTAGAGGGTGTCATCATTGGCCAAGGGAACCTAATGCATTGTCTAAGGCATGTAGAAGTGGAGCGGGGCCATTTCTCTTGGGGGAAGGGAGCCCCCCTCCCAGTTTTAGAGGCAGGTGAGGCTAGGTCTCCGGATTGGTTTTCCGTATTGCTTTGGAGCTTCGGGATTGCCTGCTTTACCTACATCATGGCTGGTGTGGAGCTCAGAGGAGTCCCTGCCGGTGGGAGTAGTGTGCTGACAGCACTCTGTGTGCCTTTGAGGAGAGGCAGCGGCCTGAGAGTGTTTAGATCAGGGGTCTTCAACCATCGCAGCTTTAAGACTTGGGGACTTCAACTCCCAGAATTACCCAGCCAGCATGTTGTAACCCCCCCCCCTTTAGAGGATGAATGGCTCAGAGGTTACATTGATTCTGGGGTTCCTATCATGGGGAGGGGAGGGGAGGGCAAAAGGGCTGTTTTGATGTCAGCTTCACGAGTTCTGTGTTCACATCCTTCTGTAGCCTCTTGGCTCAGGGTAAAACCTGACAGATTTACTCCTCTTGAGGCTGGGTTTTTATGGCTCTTATTTGCAGGGTCTCCTGCCACTTTCCCAGTGATGAGGTCCTGGACTGACTGGTCCTTAGTGTGCTGACTCTGCCGTAGGAATTCCGTCATCTATAAGTGGGGGTGGGGGTAGAACTGGCTCAGAAAAATGCACTTGGCATTTCTTTTGCTGGGCGAGTAGTGAAAATCTTTCTTTTTGGGGCGGGGTTTTAAAAACAAAACTTTATTAAACATAAAAGTAAAATACTATACTATGTATATACAAGATATATTAATACAAACGACAATACATAAAAAGAAAAAGTGACTTTGGTCACACGTCCATTATCTTATTAGCGGTGCATATTTGTTTATTATCATACAAAATTTTTCATTTACTCTCATTTCTGCAAGTTATCCAATCATACCACCTATTCCATGCTATATAACATTTTGAGTCTACCTTGTCCTTCATTTCAAATGTTAGTTTGTCCATTTCCATTCAATTATAGATTTTTTTGATTATTAATTGATCTGTTGGCAGTTGGTCAGTTTTCCAATATTGGGCGAGCGCCAATCTGGCTGCAGTGACTGTGTAATATTAAATACTTTATTTCTTTCCTATAGTTTTCTTTAATCATCCCTAATAGGAAAATCTCTCGTTTAAGTTCTATTTTTTCCGATGTTATTTCTATTAGCCAAATTTTTACTTTTTCCCAATACTTTCTAATTTTTGGGCAAAGCCACCAGACGTAGCTTTGCCCAAAAGCCTCTGCCTGTTTGCACTTCCAACAGGTTGAACTTAAATTTGAATACATTTTTGCTAATCTCGAAGGGGCCAGATACCATCTATACCACATTTTGTATTGATTCTCTTTATAAACCACTGACTTTGTTATAATATAGTTATTTTCTCACACTTTTTCCCAGTCCTCCAATTCTAAATTATGCCCAATATTTCTTGCCCATGCTATCATTTGCCCCTTTACTAATTCCTCTGCTAGATCAAATTCCAATAGATATTTGTAAATTTTTGAATTCAATTTTTCCTCCGTGGTTTCTAAAAGTTTATCCAACCGATTCGGTTTTAATTCAATTCCTCCTTCCTCCTGATCCTTTTTATATCTTGTTTTTATCTGAAGATAGGGCCACCAATCTATCTGTATCCCTTGATCTCTGAGTTCCTCTCGTGTTTTTAATGTTCCTTGAGAATCCAAAATTTCATAGTATCTTACCATTTTTCGAATTTCTAAGGTGTTGGGGTGCATCATCGTCTCCATTGTGGATAACCATCCAGGAACTTTCATATAGTGTTTACTTTTAATTTCCTGCCATGTATAAATTAATGAATCTCTTAAAATATGATTGCTAAAATACCTATGTGTTTCGTTCCTGGTATTCCACAAGAAGGCATGCCACCCCATCGACAAATCATGTCCCTCCAAGGTTAACAGTCTTTGATTTTTCAGATTCACCCATTCCCTGATTCATGTCAAACTTGTTGCTCTATAATATGTCTACAAAATTTGTGTGGGAAGGAAAAAAGCCAAGAATTAAATTAAGTACTTTGGAGGATGATACAGCCAGAGGTGGATTTGGACTCCCAGCATGAGTGAAAATCTTTCAAATCAGTTCTATTTTGTCAGTTTAGGGGCTGAGATAGGGAGGCTTACAAGCCGCACACCTGGTTTGAGTTTCCCCCAAAGTTTCTGAATGCTTTTATGAGACCCTCCTCTTTCATCCGTGTTTGGCACTTTCCTCTTCTGAGTGCAGCTTCTCACAGTGTTACCCGGGCTGTTCCTCTCTCCCCACTCCCAGTCCCTTCTGGAGTTGCACAAGCGTCGGAAAGCCCTGACGGAGCCCGAGGCCCGCTACTACCTGCGCCAGATCATCCTGGGCTGCCAATACCTGCACAGCAACCGTGTCATCCATCGCGACCTCAAACTAGGCAACCTGTTTCTGAACGATGACATGGAGGTGAAGATCGGTGAGTGGGCTGCAGTCCCATGCTCTGGACACAGCTGAGTGGGGGTGAGGCCCCCTGGCTGGGAGGGGACTTGGGCCATGCTGCTTTTCAGGCCTGGAGAAGGGGTGGCTCAGTGGCCGCATCCTCTCTAGGATGCTGAAGTAACAAGCAGGGAAGGCAGGGCTGTTGCCCAGTTGTAGGCTACACTGCGGCGTGGTGGCACAGTGGTTGGAATGCAGTACTGCATGCTACTTGTGGTGACTGCCATTTGCCAGCAGTTCGAGTCTCGCCAGCTCAAGGTTGACTCAGCCTTCCATCCTTCCGAGGTCGGTAAAATGAGGACCCGGATTGTTGGGGGCAAGAGGCTGACTGTAAACCGCTTAGAGAGGGCTCTAAAACACTGTGAAGCGGTATACAAATCTAAGTGCTATTGTTATTGCCCATTTACAGGACTGCCCAACTCAAACTGTGATTCTGGATGACATGCAAAAAAAAAAAAAAAAAAGGAAAAACATAATTCATAGAAAGACACAGATTTAAACATATTAAAATGGGGAATAGAACCGAAAACCTCTAGAGTTCATCAATGGGGAACTGTGCTCAACCTGCCCGTAAAGCCGGTGGAAGGGCCCAGTCTTCATTACTTCCTTAAAGCCAGTAGAAGATTGTCCCGAAGGGCAGAGGCTGCCCCAGAGAAGGTGGAGAAGGTCCACCTACCTCCTGGGGCCATTAGAGGCCTGGGTCCAGGGTAGGGCCTGGAGTGTGCCCATCTGTAGGCTGGTTGTCCCACAGATAACTCAGTTCCATGCCAGGAAGATATTTATGGGTGATAAGCAGCCCTGTAAATGGTGCCCAGAAGCTCTTTCGGTGCCAGTGCAGCCCGTGGTGTTTATGTGGACATAGCAAGAAACCCCCATAATTACCATCCATTCTGTACTAATTAGCTTCTTCAAGTGCAACCCCATCCAGATTTGGGGCCCCACAGATCCTCCGTTTTCAGGATCTGTGGGGCCCCAAACCCATAGCCTCGGGGCCTGGAGAGAAGCTTTGCCAGGCTAGCTGGGGTAGAGATGTACGTCACATAGAGGGTGAATAGGACCAGAGGACATGGGCTGGACTGCTGCCTCCTCCATCAACATGGACCAGCCTTGGAGGAAGGAGGAGAACCCCGTAAAGCAGTGCCTGCCTTTCCCACCGGATTTCCTGAGCTGTCTAGAAGGATTCCCTGGTCGATGGTCTGAAAGGATGCCAAGAGATCCAGGAGAATTAAGAAGGATTCCCCCAACTCAGGCCCTCTATCAACCACTGCAGCTAAAGTCTCTGCACTCTGGGACCTGACTGGAAGAGTCTGCTGCTTCCAGGACCCCCTGAACTGCAGATCAGCCACCTATAGACACACACACACACAAACAAAGATTTACCACAGCAGCGTTCCAGGTCGGTGTGGTCCAATCAAAAGCCGCTGTCACCAAAGCCTCAGCCAGGCCAAGCAAATGCCCAACTCTTCTGGCACCCCTCAGATCCATCTGGCTCCTGAGGCAGTCTGATTTAAGAGTCCTCCCTCCACTGGGGGGGGGGGACACGGTGTCATGGTGAACTGTGAGTCACCAGGCAGTGATCTGCCCATGGCAAGGAGCAGAGAAGTGTCCTCCAACTCCAGATCCCGTTGCCACTGCTCCACAATAGGTCTGGCATATGGCACACACCAGGCCCACGGTGGCCATGAATTCGTGGATGCAGCTGAATTGACCTGGGCGATGGGCTGATCATGGGCTTTCCACCATGGGCCTGGCCACTCCGCTGCCAACCCAGAGGCGGCATCAAACAGGTCGGGCAGGGGAGCTGCCATGCTAATCCTAAAGGCCCAGCCCCACGAGTGGGATTCTGGCCCACCATCTGTGGGAGGGGTGGGGATGCCCCAACAACTCTCTGAATAGGGATCTTTATAAAAGGCCAGCCTGGCATTTGAAGCACCAGCCAGAGCCCAGAGCAACCCAAGGAGCAGGAAGTGGGGATGGAGCTGGGCTGGAATGTAGGTCTGGTGGGAGACAGGCTCATGTTCCAATATTTGAGGGGCTGCCACAGAGAGGAAGGGGTGAAGCTATTCTCCAAGGCACCTGAAGGAATAATGGATGGAAACGAAACAAGGAGAGGTTCAACCTAGAAATAAGGAGAAATTTCCTGACAGTGAGAACCATCAACCGATGGAACAGAAGTTGCCTTCGGAAGTTGTGGGAGCTTCATCCCTGGAGGCTTTCAAGAAGAGACTGGACGGCCATCTGTCAGAAATGGTGTAGGATCCACTGCTTGTGCGGGGGTGGGGGGTTGGACTAGATGACTACAAGGTCCCTTCCAACTCTGTTAATCTGTTTCCTGGGTCTGATTCCTGCCATAACGCCTGTTGCCCAACAATCATTCTCTTCTGTTGGGCGAAGCAGCTAAAGGAGCCAAGAGGGCCCAGCTGTTGGGGTCTGCTTCTGGCTTGTCCTGGGTGCCAGTTCCAGGCCTCCTTGGGTGAAGCGCAGCAAAGAGGCCGAGTGTTAACAATCAGCCAAGCAGGAGCAAGAAGCAGCAGTGGCCCCTCTTCAGAACTTGTCACTCGCTGGCCCTGGGGACGATTCCTGGAACTCGGGGACAGCTGGTGCTTAAACTTTGTCCTTCCTGATATTTAGCACATCACAGCTGCTCTTTGATCTTTTTTTCCAAAAGAGAAAACAGACCTTCGAATTCAAGGGCTTTTCCAAACTTGTAGCTGTTTGCGTCAAGGGTCTGGGAGGCCGTTGGGCCTGGGGAAGGGGCTTCTCCCAAGCTGCGAGAGCCAGGCAGGCCCCCTGGTCTGCAGCTCAGGCACCTGGGAGAGGTATTTGGATGGCTCTACCTGCTGTGTTTGGATCCCTAGCCAAGCTGGACTCAGGAGGCTGCCCCTTGTGTCTGTCCAGGTGACTTCGGCTTGGCCACCAAGGTGGAGTATGACGGGGAGCGGAAGAAGACCTTGTGTGGGACACCAAACTACATTGCCCCCGAAGTGCTGGGCAAGAAAGGGCACAGCTTTGAAGTGGACATCTGGTCCATCGGCTGCATCATGTAAGTTTGGGGGTGCCTGAAGATAAATGGAAATCCCAAGAGGAAAATTACACTCACACAGCACCAGGACCTTAGAGAGGGGAGTTTTTCCCACATCTCCCAGTTCTGCAAATTGGGGAATGGACAAATAGGGGTTCAGTGGGACCCTGCAGAACTTGTCCCAAAACTGCTTTCTTTCTAAGGCAACTGGACTTCCTTGTTTTGTAGAAGATGTTTCACTTTCCATCCAAGCAGCTTCTTCAGTTCTGACCGAATGGTGGAGAATGGAAGGATTTATATACCTTGCAGTCATCTGGTAGTTAGCATTCTTTCTGATGGCCTCAATGACTCAGAAGGAGTCCTAATGACTGCAAGGAATATAAACCTTTCCATTCTCCATTTGGTCAGAACTGAAGAAGGTTCTTGGATGAGAAGCAAGAGGCCTTCTAGCAAAACAAAGTCCAGTTGCCTTTGAAAGAAAGCACTTTTGGGACAACCGTGACCTGGGCAGCTGAGGATCTCCATAGACACCTGCAGGGCTTGCTTTCTCTGTAAGAAGGTGGGGCTCCCCAAACAGCAGAGAGAATTCAACAACCTCAGTTTATAACCTCTTCCCATGATTGATTATCAGGCGTGACTTCTTATTAACAAAAGCCACGTTGAGACACCAGGGACTTGAGAGCCCATCAGCTGGGTGGCTCAGCAGGTGGAACCCTTCCTGCATGGTGCTTGGGGATCCAGGTGTGGCTGACGCAGAGAGTGCAGGTGTTCTCGTGATCCCAGAAGTGGGAGGCGGGAGCGGAACTGGCTCTGCCGTCTGAAGATCACCACGTCCCTGTGCTGGAAGACGGGGTGGGCCAACGGGCCTCTTGGCAGGGGAGGCTCTATGGGGAGCTGTCCTGAAGCTCTTTCTCCTTGCAGGTACACCCTCCTGGTTGGGAAGCCACCCTTTGAAACCTCCTGCTTGAAAGAGACATATATTCGGATTAAGAACAACACATACACGATTCCTACGGTGGGTTCTTTTTGAAGCTCTCCCAGCCAAGGGGTCCGGGGGGGGGGGGAGGGTGGGCTGCCCGTTAGGGCTCGGGGCTGGGCCGGCTTTGTATTTCTGAGTTAACGCCCACCCAACCCCGGTCTGCTTGGAGTGAAGGCAGAACAAGTGTGTCCTTCTCTACTCTTCCCTCAGGTTTAGCCCGGGGTGGGGTCTGGGACCCTCACCGAATCACGGCTCCCCTCCTTCCTCCTGTGGCTGTGTGAGCCGTGCTCCTAACAGATTGTAGTTTTGCAGCATTGGGTCGTTGCCCCTTTTCAGGGACTGAAATCTCATGCTGCCCAGAGTCACTTTAGAGGGGAGATGGGTGGCATAAACAGTAAAATAAATAAATTAATGTTTGTAAGAATAAGACTGCTCCAGCCTGCTGCTTCAGCCAATTGGCTTGCTAGCAATACCACTTAGACTTATCTTCACAGTGCTCTACAGCCCTTTCTAAGCGGTTTACAGAGTCAGCCTTTCGCCCCCAACAATCTGGTTGCTGAGGCACGGTTGAATTCCGGCTCTTCTGCAACTCATTTAATGCTTGGCTTGGAATCCAGCCGAGCAAGTCCCTGGGTCATAAGGCTTGGCACTAGCTTTATAGCCTCACGAAGGGGACGGACGTTGGTAGCAGGGCGGGGGGAATTGTGTAGGAACGGCCTGTGGACCTTCTGTCCGTCCAGCATATCAACCCCGTGGCTGCTAGTCTCATCCAGAAGATGCTGCAGCATGACCCGGCTGCCCGGCCCACCATTGACGAGCTGCTGAACGAGGAGTTCTTCACGACGGGCTACATCCCTTCGCGGCTGCCCACCACCTGCCTTACGGTTCCTCCCCGCTTCTCTCTGGCGCCCAGCAGCTTGGACCCCAGCAACCGCAGGCCTCTTGCGGTGGTGAACAAAGGTGAGCTGGGCGAGGTTTCAGAGCCCCCCACCCTTCCCAGGCTGTGCAGTTTCTGAGCCTGGCCGAATCTTCCCTGGTGCAGGTCCAGAGAGCCCGGCCCTGGAGAAGGTGTGCGAGAAGGAAGACAAGGCCAGCACCCTGCAGGAGCCCGAACAGCCCCTGCCCTGCTACCTGGCCGACCTGCTGCAGCAGCTGATGCGAGTCAATGCTTGCCGGCCCTCGGAAAAAACTCCCGTCAGGCAAGGTGAGGGCGGCTGGCTGGACGCTGCGCTTTTCAGCCGGGCAACCCGTGTGCACTTCTTCATTCCGGCATCTCTTGTTTGTTTTTTCCCCCAGAGGAGGCCGAAGACCCCGCCTGCATCCCCATCTTCTGGGTCAGCAAGTGGGTGGACTACTCTGACAAGTATGGGCTAGGTAGGTAGGTGGTCTCGGGGCAGGGGGGCTGGGTTAAGCAATGGCACTTCGGTGGGAACACCCTGGAAACAGCCACCGTTACCCCAGCTGCATTTCCCCCTGCGAGGACGGTTGGTTTTACTGTATTTTGTGTGAATGAAAGAAAAAGTCTTGGGCCAGAGCAGACCTCTGGGTGGGAGGGCCAGTTTGCCCTGGACTTGCACCCCAAGGGCCCTAAAACCTACAGTACGAATGACGGACAGCAGAGGTGGAATTGATCCTGGGTGAACTGAAACTCAAAGTGGTTTGATTTGATCAGATATGAAGATGGGGAGAATTCAGCTGGAGTTTCTCTTGACAATTTGTCAGTCTGTCAACACTTGCGGGTTTGAAACTGCCCACCCCCACCCCCACCCCAGGAAAAAGGGCTCATTTTGCACTAATCAGGCTGATGGCATGTTTGCCAGAACTCCAGCAATTTCTCTCCGTTTTGCTTCCCTCTTTTTCTGGATTGAGTTAAAAGAGATTTAACTGATTATGTACTATGAAATCACGGTTAACTCTTGCTGATATTTTCCCCACGACGATCTGTCCCCCACCTGCTCCTTCAGGTCTCCCAAGGACTCACCGCAACGGCCTTCCCACCCATAAAAGCCATTCCTTCCTTGCTTCTCGGCTCCTGAGGAGTGAATGATGGGCCACACGGCCATGGGGGCATGGCAGCAGCCGTAACATTGGGCACGGGTCATAAGGCCGTTGTTCAGCTCCTTTGTAATTTCAAACGGTCCCTGAATGAATGGCCATAATTTGAGGGCTGCCTGTAATGTTTCTTTTAAAAGCTCTTGGTTTTCGGAGGGAAGGTGCTCTTTCCCAGCGACTCGGGGCTTTCCCCATCCTGTGGGAAGAAAGGGGCTGCGATCCAGCCAGATGCGTTTGGGAATCGGTCTTGGCCCGATTCCCAAATGCTCCCCGTGTGCAGACAGGATGTGCTCGGCCGGCTACGGTCTTGTTCTGCTAGGTCAAGGCAATCCTGTGGTATTGCGGCCTGATCCAAGGCAGCTGAGGATGCTCCCGCCTTCTCTTCCGCAGGCTACCAACTGTGTGACAACAGTGTTGGGGTCCTTTTCAACGACTCAACTCGCCTCATCATGTACAGTGATGGGGACAAACTGCAATACATTAACCAGAACGGCTCTGAATTGTATTTTAATGTGCTCTCTTACCCAGATACTTTCAGCAAGAAGGTGAGACAGAGAGAGAGAGAGAGAGGACGCTTGGGGCGCTGCTCTACCTTGCCTTAGTTTCCCCTTCTGTCTCTGATGGGCGGGAGGAGGGAAGCGGGTCCCCTCTGTTGCAATCTCGAGTCTGTGCTTGAAGGGGCATTCCATCTGGACTGCAGGAAAAGCCGAGGCCCAGAGGGTGTGGCCAGGGGTGTCAAAAGGCTTGGTGTACGGATGCTCCCATCCAAGAGATCGGCAAGGCTGCAGGGGAGGGGGGGAGGGTGTTCCTGGCTTTTTCCTGGAAGGGGGCCTTCGAGGGGGCTTCTTGCTCAGCCCTGCCCTGGTGGGCTCACCTGCTATGCTCTGTTCTTCTCAGATTAAGTTGCTGGAGTATTTCCAAAATTACATGAGTGAGCACTTGCTGAAAGCTGGCGCAAATGTGACTCCCCGGGAAGGGGACGAGTTGGCGCGGCTGCCCTACCTCTTGAACTGGTTCCGCACTCGCAGTGCCATCGTCCTGCACCTGAGCAATGGCACGGTACAGGTCAACTTCTTCCAGGTGAGGAGTGGGCCTCTGGGAGCCGCCCACCAGAGAGGGAGCAAACGCTGGTCTTGCAGGGGCCCTGCTCAGACTGCAGGGCCCGCAGGGCTTCTGCAATGGAGGGAGGAACTGATCTGTCGGGGCCCTGCCTTCTCTCAGGTGCTAGTGCTCTCTCTGGGGACACAGAAGCACTGACAGCCACCCACCCCCATATCCACCTGGCTTTCCTGGGAGGAAAGGAGGCAGACCAAAGGATTGGGAGCAACGTTTCTGAATCAGTAGTGGAGTTCTTGCAGCCGCCAGGCCTGGGGTCCTAGCCAGAACCCTGAATCCCTTCTCAGAACGGGGCCACATGCTTGCTTTTAAGAGGTGCTTTGCCATTAGGCACTGCTGCCTCCAGATGCTAAGCAAGCCCGGCCCGCTGTGCTTTCTTGAACCGCAGGACCACACCAAGGTCATCCTCTGTCCCTTGATGGCCGCCGTCACCTACATCAATGAGCGGCGCGAGTTCCACACCTACAAGCTGACCCTGATCGAGGAGTTTGGCTGCTGCAGGGAGCTGGCCAGCCGCCTCCGTTACGCCCAAACCATGGTGGAGAAGCTGCTGTGCTCTAAATCGGGGGCCACCAAGGCGCCAAGCTAGACCCGGGGAGGCTCCGTTTGGCTTGGAACTGTGCAGCCCCCCTGGACGACCCCCCTTGGCCTGGCCACACCAGGCCCCAGGCTCCTTTAGGGGCCCCGGGGCCCCTTGGCTACAAAAGGACCATAACAGGATACTTTTTCTTCAGATTCTGATAAGAAAGCCCCCCTCCCTTTTTCTTCCCCCCCTCCCCCCTAAGACTAAACTGTTTTATACTCACTTTGAATAAAGAGAAGCTTCTGACCGTTGCCTTTTGATTCTGATTTAAGCCAGCCAGATTCCTTCTCGAGCCCCTCTCTGGAGGGGAATTCAGGCCCTGCACTAATGGACGAGGAGCTCCTTGCCGGTCAGGCAGCTGCAGGCTGGGCTTGGAGGCTCTGCGGCTCGTTGCATTTTGGCTTCGGGCAACGGCGAATCGGGCCTTTGCTTGCTTTGTCTTGGGACTCGTGACCCTCCTCCAGCTGAGCTTTTCAAACTCTCTGAGCCCACCAAGGTCTCCCCCAGCTGGCCAGCCCCAGGAAGAAGGGTGTGTGTGTGTCCAGGCAACCCTGCAACAAAGGCAGCTTTGGCCACAGTCCCAAGGCGGGAGAACCACGTATGTCCCTGAGGGGGAGTGGCTCTTGACACACACACACACACACACACACACACACACACACACACAGGACAGGTCGTCTTGGCCAGGCAGGGGGCCATGGTTAATGAGATCCATCTAGCCACCCGGGGTCTCTGGGCTGGGGATTTCCCGCGATTGCACCCAAAGCCCCCACGAGCAGTGAACAGCCGCCTTCAGCTGACCTTCCCCAGGGAGATCCTGGGTCACTGGAGATTTGGTGCACCCACAGGAGAGCAACCCCAAGTGATGGAAGGGGGAATGGGCTCAATGAGGGACAGCAAACCCAGGATGGAGGGCTCAGGTGGAGGGGACCCTTTGTTGCGTGGATGTAGTCCCCACCTCAAGGCATCATGCATATCCAGAGGCCCTGCTCAGACAGGGAGCACCCAGCCACGGCAGTGCTGTTGTCTGCGGTTCCTTGTGCCATTGCTGGCTCTGATGAGCCATGCTGGCGTTTTGTCACTGCATTTTAGGCCCTGATCGGTTGAGGAAGCTCTCACCTCCTTATTCATTCTTGCCCAAAGTGGCGGGGGGGGCATGTTTGTGTGGATGTTCCCCTCCCAGAGATGGGAGCGCCAATCCTGGTACACAGTTGGAACCCAGAGCCTGGCAGGGATATTTTAAGCTTCTTTAAATTTCTAAACATTTTAGGCATGCTTCTGTTGCTTCCATGGTTTGTTGTGAGAGATTTTTATCACTGAACATCTAAACAGTTTGTCAAAAGCCTTGCTGGGCTTCACACAACAGACTGTTTGATGTGTGGCTGTTGGTCTTGGGTCCGTGTGTGTGACCACAAGCGCAGGGCAGTCATCTGATGCCCCAATGGGCTAAGCCCCCCCCCCCTTGGGCCACCAGCAGGACAAAGAACAGGTCAGGGGCCGCACTGGCTCTGGATGGGCTCTACACAAGGACATCAGAGGGTTGCGCCTGTCCTTGGACACAAACTGCCAGAACATTCCCTGGTTGCTTCAGCCAGTTTGAGAGTATAGGTAGTCTTTGACTTATGACCAGTTACACTTAGCAACTGACACTACACTGCACCTCCCAGGGAGGGTACTTATGCCCCAGGTTCCACGTGCCAACGGTTGGAGGTTCCAGGGTCACGGGACTCCACTTGGAGTATTTAGCAACCATATTTACACCATTAGTAACATCCTGTGGTCACGACTGTTTTATGACAATTTTGCCCCCCAAAAAATACCTTTTGTTTTTGATTTTCGGCAACATTGGCCCATAGCAAACCATGGATTTACTTTATGATTGCTGCCAGAAAGGAGGTTGGTCGTGCCGGTGGGTGGGGAATGATTTACCACCGTCACAACTCAAGGACTACCTGAATCAGCCTTGCATATCTTCTAGGACTGGGCCTTTGTCAAACATGGCGGCAGCAGATGTAGGACAGTGAATCTCTCTTGGCAGCCGTGTTTGCTCCTGTGCTAATCTCATCCGGCTCATTAATGGCCAGAAAAGACCGGCTGATCTCTGGGTGGCTCCAGGACGCCTTCTTGGTCCTCTTTCAGTGAGGGTCAAGGCTGCTGTGGAGACATCCAATACTTCGCTGGCTGCTGCCATGACAAATTTGGCCAAATGTTTTCCCGAAGTCTAGCTATAGTTTGTGGCCTTTCCACAATCCGTTAAAATTATCTGATTAAAAAACGACAGTGACAACGCTGTTGATTCAGATTTGATCTAATTCTGTCTAGTACATCAAATTATGGCTAAAACAAGTCCACCCTTGGACTTCTGTGTAAGTGCAATGAATTAAAAGGTAGTTACGACATTTCACGTTCTTGAGTCTGGTCTCCAAATTGCCTTCTTTGTGCAACCTTGGCTCAAGGGGAGCCCCTGCCCTGCCATCCCTTCCCCTGCTAAGCGGCCAGAATCCTTCCTGGCTGAAGAAAAGAAAATGCCCTCCTTCCTGATGGCCATCCAGCTGCAGAGCAGAGGTGTCCTGCTTGCTTCCTTTCTCTGGCCTTTCTATATGCTGCTTTATAGATAGGTTTTTTTAAGAAACCCGATTTACAGCTTTCTGCTACTAACCCCCCACTCCAGAAGGTTTCTGAGGCAACGGGAGATGCTCCCTGCTTCCACATTCATGATGAGCCTGGGAATAAAATGCGCTGGGGCGGGGAACTAAGGGGCAGGGCAGACCCCAGCCTGAGCACCTCTGGCTGCCTTTAGAGGAGAATCCCCTCTCTGGAATGTCCACAGCAGGACCTGGGCTGCTCAACAAAATGTTGAGGCAGGCTGTGCATCAGCAGTGCAGCCCACGGCAACAGGTGATGCTCCCCTACCCTCTTCAGGTGAGAATTCAAGGGAAGGCACGCGCCCTCCTCTGCTCCCCTCTGCCTGAGGCCACCTGGAAGCCCCGTGAATTAGCTTCTGGCCCCTCACATGGCTTGCAACAGGTCACAGACCAGGTGGCAGGTGGGGCTCGGATGTCCTGTGCTGAATTGGTCCCTCCAGAGCAGGGCAGGCTGGCATGTGCCAAACACGCCGAGGAGCCAGAAGGCAGCAGCCGACAAATGCCCCGTCCTTGTGGAAAGCTCCTCACTCCTCCTGGCAGTAGTATCTCTGGAAGAGCCGCTCGGCAGCGCATAGGCACATGGCCTGGTGAGTGTGCAGCAGCAGGCAGGGAAAGCGGTCCAGGAAGTACTGGACGAATCCATGGGGAAGGCTGCCAAGGGCCTCCTGGACGTTGCTGGGCAGTTCGTAGTAGTGATGCTTCTGAAGGAGAAAGAGTCCGGATGCCAGGGCCCCCAAGCGACAGTCCCACACTCGGAGACGGAAGGGGGACAGGAGGTGCCTGAGGGGATGGGGGGGCCACCCACCCACTCAAGTGCCACTCAGCTGCAGAGGGCCTGGCATTCCCCAAAGAGCCCAGCCAGGGCTGGCATGGTACCTTGTTCCTCATGGCTCGCAACAGGTCACGGACTGAACTGCCCTGGTATCTCCGGAACTTCCTGAGGTCTGCAGGGGAGGGGGGAGAGTGAGAGGGGCCAAGAGGGTCAGCAAGGCTCCTGCAGTACTTTCCCTCCCCCAGGCCACACAGTGGGCCCAGAGTGGGCGAGCGCCTACCTGCCTGTAGTGGGGCCGAAAGATGCATCTGCCAGTTCCCTCGCACCACCGCCAGGCTCCCGGCCTCCAGGGTGCTGACCAGGGGCCCGTCTGCCGGCTCCTTTTCAAGGCGGTCACTGACATCCTGCAGATGGGAGAGAGTGTGGGCAGCGGGGCAGAGCGCGACTGAGAAGGGCAGCCAGGAGGAGTGTCCCCCACCCAGGACTCACCTGGAAGAACTGCAGCTGCTTCTCGGGGCCCCAGAAGAAGGGGTGGCAGAGCACCTGTGCGGCCGAGGGGCGCAGGTGGGGGTCACTGCTGATCATAGCTTCTATCAGGTCCCGCCCTACCAGGTGGCCTGGGAGAGCAAGCAGGCAGGGACCTTCAGTAGGTCGTTCAAGGATTCACCTGCCATTTGTCACTACCTTTACCACACCCCTGCAAGGTAGGCTAGCATAGCAGGCAGCAGGGTGAAGCTGAGGGAAAAGGGCTCAGCCATGGCTGAGGAACAGATGAGCCAGGAGCTCCAGGGAGGCACTGAGCCATCCCAGGTCCAGCTAGCAGAAAGAGGCTTAATGGGGCTGGTTGGAGACCCCATGCAGGCAGGGTGGAAGGAAGGGGGCTTCCCCACACATGCTCGCACACGGCCAAAGCATCCCATGATGCTTACTGTGGGTGTCCTGCTGGAGCCTTGGCAGTTGATAGGTGCCCGCCAGAATGTTGGCCTGGCGATGGAAGCTGTGCCCAAAGGGATGCTGCCCGTGGGACAGGACGTAGTAGAAGACGCAGCCGGCGGAGAAGATGTCCACCCCGCAGGTCTGTAAGAGAGCAGGAAGCCAGGGCCAGATGCAGCAGCTTCCATGATCCTTTGATGGCTCAAGGTTCGATTTCTATCGTACCTTTTCTCTGGGCCTCTTTTTCCCCTGGGGTGACACCCTGGGAGGAGGGCAGGGCAGGCCGGAGTCCTCGGGGAACCGGGACTCTCCGCTCCTAGACCCCAAAAGCAGGCCATACTCACTGGGCTCTCCCCTGCGTCCTCCCTGAGCATCTCGGGCGCGATCCACCCCTCCGTGCCAGGGATGCCCGAGCCGAGACTGAAGCTCTGATGCCCCCCCTGCAGCTTCTTGCACAGGCCAAAGTCGGAGATGACCGCTCGGAGCCGCCCTTGCCCATCGGGGACCGAGATCAGGATGTTGCAGGGCTTCAGGTCACGATGAGCTGGGAAGAAAAGGTGCTCGGCACAAGCCCGGATGACACCCAGCCCCTGTTTAAAGGGGAGGGGGAGGCAAGGGCCTTTGCTGGGAGGGGGGAGGCCTCACCTATGCTGAGGGAGTGCAGATGGGCCAGTCCGGACATGGTCTGGCTCAGCAGGGAGAGTGAATCCAGGCCCTTTCCAGGGAAGACGGAGCTCTCCACATACTGGAGGGGGGAAGAAGGGAAGAGGGCAGGGCAATCCTTGCCAGATCAAGCCTGTCTCCCCCTCCCCCACTCACCCCCAGCTATGCAGGAAGAGCCATTAGCTCTGACAGCCTTCAAGAATCTGCCAAGCCCCCCCCCTCCCCGCCCCCCCCAGCAGGCGAACTCTCTTCGGAGGAACTGTTCACAAGCGCTTGGGAGGAGACCCTCCAAGTCACACTTGAAGTACTTAAGCAAAAGTTATTTCTAGCCCTCATACAGATACAGTTGGATTTCCCGTCATTTGGACTGGTGGAAATGTAAGTCAGTGTCTCCATGCTGAGAATGGGCAGCTCCCAGCTCAAGGCAGCTTCCGAAGGGCAAGAAAACTAGGCAGAGCACCTGAACTGGCTGGCGGAGGGAAGCAGCATGAAGACTGTAGGGGCAGGTGTGGAACAAAACGAACAAAAATGATGGCAGGGATGCGAGGGGGAGCCGGAGGGGGGGGGTCCTGGCAGGGCTGCCTCCTCACCTGCTGCAGGGTAGCAGAGCAGAGCTCCAGGGCGATGTAGTGGAACTGCCCATCGGCCTCGGTGCAGAAATAGCGCACCACGTTGGGATGCGTGTCCGACTCTCGCAGCAGCCGCACCTCGCGGTCCACCAAGCGGACGCTTTCCGGAAGCAAACGCTTCACAGCCACGTTGCGCCCATCGAAGCGGCCTCTGAAGAAGGAAGCCACCCGGATGAGGCGATGGGGGGAATGGCTTCTCCTCTGGGCCCAGAATGCCCCTCTCCCCTCCTTCCAGCAAAGTCCTCGCCCTGCCCTCTCAGGAAGCGCCAAAAGCCGGCTGGGCCAGCACTTCTGCCTCCTGGACCCCGAGAGGGAGGCTCAGCCTGCTGCCCTTCAGGATTGGCTCTGAGCAACACAGGACCCTCGGCCTGCAGGGAAGCCCCCTGGTTGGATTGCAGGGCTCGGTGCTTCTATTCAGCAGCTCCAACTCACCGGAACACAAAGGTGCCCCCGGCCCCCCGGCCCAGCACCTCCTGGGGTCTGAAGGAGAGCTTCCCCACAGTAACCGTTTCTGGGTCAGCACCTGCCAAGGGGAGAGAAGAGAGGAATAGGCTTCCCCCCTGAGGAAGTCACCTTAGTGGCCCCTTTGACAGGCCCCTCCCCAACACACCCTCTGCTAGCTGGGCAGGTACCCACCTGGACCAGGGCTCTGGAGGGAGGCTTTATCCGTCGAGGCTGACAAGGGGGGCAGCTCTGCCCCCTGGTCCAGTTCTAGCGACCCTTCAGGAGTCCTTTCTGGGAGATGGCAGGAGGACCCAGGAGGCTGCTGGCTGGAGCTGCGCTCAAGAGGGACCCTCTGGGAGAGCGGCAGCAGGAACAAAAGGGAAGAGACCACCTTCCTTTACTGCCAGGGGGCCATCATCAGGTTGAGGGCAAGACTGGCTACGTCCTGGCAGAGACCCCTCCCCAATGGTGGCCATGAAGGGTGCCTCCTCTAGAAGCTGGCAGGGACCGATGTGAGCCACTCCTGGCCTCGGCCCTGAGGCCCCTGCAATCCCCCCAAAGCATAGAAAGTCAGAAGCCCACTCACCCAGAGCAGGAGGCAGAGGAGCCCCCCGCCCCAACAGACGGAAGCCACGCCAACCACAATGAGCTCCCAGCTGCCAAACGAGGGATCCACTTCCACTGGGGCCTCCTTCCTGGCATGATCCTCCCAGGGCCGACCATCAGCCAGATCTTCCTGTGGGCCCTCAGGGGCCAGGAACTGAAACAGACCAGGAAGCTCTTGGCAAGGATGGAGGGGGACATACAGTCACTGCCCGGCCACACGGTGTGGACTTGGGCCTGGAAGTGGGGCCAACCAGGCCGACTCTTTTGCCCTAGTGGGGAAGGGGAAGGCAAGGCAAGCACGCCCCCCCTGCATGTGTCTCTTGCTCCTTCTTCCCCCCCCACCCCCGCAATTCCTACATTAGCTTGTGATTGGGTGTTGCATGTGAAAAGCCTGTAGGACACCAGGGCTGATCGCTTGTTCTGCACCTTCTGACGATGACACTGGGTGAAGCAGCCCGGAGTGCCAGGGTCACGGCTAGGTCTTCCTCTTCTCTTAGCGGGCCATCATCACCCGGACTGGAGGAATCTGCCCTGCAATCCTCCCCCCACCACATCAGCCCTACCCCCCTCTTGCCCCGTACCTCTTCCAAGAGGCTGTGAGCGCGGGACTTATGTGGTGCCACAACCTCCGGTTTCCTCTGCAGGCTGCCAGGAGGGGCCCTCAGCATGGTGGTGTGGACTAGTGGGGGCATCTCGTGGTGGCCTGGAAGGAAGGGGAGAGGCTGGGGTCCCTCTGCTGAGTTGGGGGCCCTCACCAAGGAGAGCACCCCATGGCTGAGCTCAACCCGTCTTCAGTCATGCTAACTCTATGGTTCTTTTCTTAAACCCCCCCCCCCATCCTCTCTGCTCTCTTCTAATGCTGATCATCAGGGACCTTCAGTTCCCTCCAAATCTTCTAATCACAATTTCTTCCCCCCTTCCCTTTCTGAGATGTTTTTCCCCCACCATCCCCAACTTGCAAAGGCAGCAAAGCCCCATCCAGGGACCAGTGAAGAAAGGGTTTGGGGTCAGCCCACACCTGCCAGTATCTACACGCGTGTTCTTATGTAGAAGGGCAGCATTGTGCACCATTCAGCCCAGGGGTCCAAATCCCCCACCATTCAGGGACTCCGGGCAACTTCTGGGGGAAATGGAGGCTGTCTCTCAGGGTGGGCCCCAGAACCCAGACACTCACCTATCAGCAGCCACTGGCTGTGGGGGAGGAAGATGGTGCCCGGTGGGTACTGGATGCCCGTGCTGGGTGTGATCTTGCACTCGCCAGACCTTTGGAGCGTCACTTCGCGTGTGATGGGACCACTGCCCTGGGCCAGAGCCACCCCCTGAGGCTGCAGGAGGCAGAGACAGCCCAGTGAGCAGCAGGGCCCCCCACCCACCTACCCACCCCGTGCCCGCACCAAGGGAAAACTCACCACCAGGGCCATGCCTTCATGCACCAGGGATGTCAGCGCGTAGAAGCCCCCAGCATATTTGCCCACATACAGGGTTGTGCTGAAACAAAAAGGAAGGCCACGAAGGGTGAGGAGGCAGCCCCTCCGTGGCACAGAGAGCTGCCATGCAGATTCTGGTGAGATTCAGAAGTCACTGAGCCCCTGGAGGTTGAGCTCTGGCTAAGCAGTGACAGCCTAACGCAACATTCTTCAACCCACCCACCAGGGTGATTTTGGAGGAAAGCAGGAGGAATGAGGGCTTGTGCACACCTCTGTACGTTGCACAAAATAAAAGCGGAATATAAATCCATTCAATTCTCCAAATCTACTGATGGCTCCACCATGCACTGGCTTGGAGAGACCCAAATTGGTGCCTGGCAGCCACAATGGCTCCTGTTCACCTACCCCCATAATGGCCCTTGATGGAGGGGCTGGGCTGCAGGGGCTGCCATGGGGGGGGGGGGGGGTCGGGGGGGGAGACCTCTGTTAGGGGCAGGGTCTTTTATTCATGGCTTCCTTGAGCCAAAGAAGCAGGAGATCAAAGCTCCTGCCCAGAGAGAGGAGAGATGGTAGTTAATGTGCAGCCAGGATTTCTTTCCTAGAAGCTCCTGAAATGGCGAGTGTCCTTTGGGGAAACAGACCAAGGTTAACCCTGAGGCAGAAGCCCCCCCCCACCCCAATTCTGCACCCCGTTGCTTTTCTGGAAAGCAGGCAGCCAATGGCTGGCCCTCTTGCATCGGGAGGCCTAGGAACTCTGCAGCCCACCCACCCCTTTTCTTACTCCTTCCCACAAATTCTCTTTGACTTCCAAGAGAGCCCAGGGAGATTTTCAAAAGAACTCATTCCCCACCATCACCAAAAAACCCTTAAACACATCAACCATAAGATGAAGCCGTCTTAAACATACGAAAGACAAAGCAAAGTTCGTTTTGAAAAAAGAAAAGCAGTTTGAAAGGCTTCCTGGTCATAAAGCACTTATGTGCATGTAGGCACACAAACACACACGTGTACATATACGCATATATGTATAGTCCATGCTCTGCCTTTCTAGTCTGGCAAGCTCTCAAGGCAGCTAACAATAGTTTAAAACAACATAGATTAAAACCAATACTAAATTGGAATCGCAAGATTAACTAAAGTTGGAAGGGGACCTTGGGGACATCTAGTCTGACCCATGTCCCAGCAGAAATCACCTCAGACGGAGGGGCTGTTCAGCCTCTACTGCAATCAAGGCAGGCAGCCCACAGCCCCCCTGCGTAAGGAAGCGCCTTCTACGGCTCAGTTGGAGCCCACTTTCTGGTAACTTGACTTGGTTTCACCATGTTCTGCTCTCTTCTGGGTGACCTGCTTTCAGGCACAATATAAACACACACACACAAATACACACACACACACACACACACCCCTTCTGTCGTCTCCGTTTCCTCCTGCCTCTTCTCTGGACCTGTTCCAGTCAGTCTGGGGTCTTCTTGAAGCCTGATAAGGCACTTAAGGTGCTCTGATGCCACCAGGTTGCAAGTCTCCCTCCCAAGCCTGTTTCCAAACCTTCCCAACCTACACAGAAGCCTCACCTGGTTAAGGAGGCCTCTCAATCCATGCCGCTTTCTCCAGTGCAGGCACCACATTGTGGAAGGAACTGAGGCCGACTTTAATCTCTCAATGACCGTTTAAGGTCGCTTCCAATTGCAGCCTGTGCTTTGCACAGTTGCCTGGCCGGAGCTCTTAAGGGACAAAAGCCCTAAGCTCAACTTCTCCGCTTTCTGCATCTCTGTTTCCCCCTCTTAGGCTCCCCACAAATGCATCTACGCCACCCCCTCCCCTCATTTTTTGACAGAACTGCTTTCCCAGAAGTCACCCCCGAGGCCCCGAAGCTCTCCTGGGGTGGGCACTTACAGCAAGGGGGCCTTGGCCACAAAGTCCTTGCCAGTCCGGAAGGTCCAGTTGAGGAGGGGGATCTTCTGAGCATGCAGGATAAGGTAGCGCAGGCTCTCCATGGCTATGCTGAGGTGGGGTGCCCGACGCAGGCTGTCCTGGTGCCAGCTGTAGACGCCCACCACGGGTGACCCGTAGTCCTGGACCCAGAGCAGCTCTCCACTCTCCTTGCCCACCGTCACCAACCAACCATCTCCGCTTGAGGCAAAATGGGCCATGTCTGTGCCAAGGGGGCGGGAGGGAAAGGCAGACGTTGGGCATGGCAGCAGAGGCTTTGCTCTCCTCGAGTTGGAATGCCAGCCAAGCGCTAATCACGGGGTCAGTCGCATCGCTAAATCCTGGAGTTGGCCTCGTCTCTGACGGGATCTGTCAAGCCCAGCAGCCGAGGCCAGGGGTCTCCAACCTTGGCAACTTTAAGCCTGGCAGACGTCAACTCCCAGAATTCCCCAGCTGGGCTTAAAGTTGCCAAAGTTGGAGACCCCTGGCCTAGGCTGACTCTGGCAAGAGGAAGACTTTCAGGGCTGAGGAAAAGCTGGGATATCAGTTTCCAGATGTGAAAAGATCACACGTTTAAAAATAAGCTTACATCACACAGACTGGCTGATGAAACCAGCAGCTTTTGCAAGGAGAGCCCAATTTTTAATAGCAGACGTGCATCCCCAAAATTGGCACTAGGGGAGCGGGTGGAAAAGCTCCGGCTGCCTCCTCTGAACTCCCCCCTCCCCCCCGCAATGAGGTTAGAAGGGCTGCCCTCCTTCCTTCCCAGACTTCAGCTAACTTGCCTGCACTGTGACTCCATGGCGACATTCCCTGGGGTTCCACAGCTGCTGCTTCCCCTGCCAGCTGCCAAGGAAGGAAGGAAGGAAGGAGGCGTGGAGGGGGGAATCCCAGCTGCCAGCTTGCTCTGCCCAGTTACTCACTATAGTCAGAATCCTGCTCATGGACAGGAGTGGAGTAGTCCAGGTAGGTGGCATTCCACTGCAGCTCCCGGGCCTTGGTGTCATACATGGTGATGACATACTCTGCAGAGGAGAGCAAGTTTGATTTACCTTCTCTCTCCCTTCTCCCTCTCTCTCCCTCCTTTCCACTCCCTCTCTCCATTTCCCCCCCTTCCTTTCTTTCTCCTTTCTTCTCCCTCTCCCTCTCCCTCTCCTTCTGCTTCTTCCTCTATAGGCTGCTGTTTCTCCCCCTGAACATTCCCAGGGATGGAGGCCTGAGGGATGCTTACCGCTGCGTCCAATGAACAGCAAGGGGCTTGTGGGGTGCAGCCCATCCCAGGCCTCTGGCGACAGCACACTCTGCTTCTCCCCTGATGCTGGATCCACAAGAAACCAGGTGTCCTCCTTTTTCCCTAGATAATTGAGGAGGGAACACGTGTATTCTGGGGCGCTCCTATCCCTTCAGGTGGAAACGGGCTCCAGCCTCGCTGCTACTTTGCCCAGCCTTTCACAAGCCGAGGATGGAGCCCCCTCTGACCCTCCCCCCCTTGGCACCTGTGTAAATCACGCCATCAGAGCTGCGGCATGGAGAAGACTGCACCAGCTCCGGGATGGTGAAAGGCAGCTTCTATCAGAAAAATAAGAGAAAGAGAAAAACACCCCCACATACACACACTTGGCTCCGGATCAGCCTTTAACAAACACGACTGGAATCGGCAAGGCACCATCTGTAGCAGCTGATCCAGCGTTGCATTTTGGCGCAAGATGCTTGGGACATGTATAATAATAATAATAATAATAATAATTTTATTTCTATACCGCCCTTCTCCCGAAGGACTCAGGGCGGTGTACAGCCAATTTAAAAACACAAGACACAACAATAATTAAAAATTAAAATAATTAAATAGATTTGGCCGATTTAAAACCCCAAAAATTTAAAATACCCCAATTTAAAATTATCATGTCGATAGCCCGGCCTGGCGGAACAACAGGGTCTTCAATGCGCAACGAAACACCCGGAGGTCGGAGATCTTGCGTATTTCCGGGGGCAGTTCATTCCACAGGGCTGGAATGTCCTCTGTGCCAACAACTATCGGTGTGGTAGCCACACAGATGACCCTTGAATTATGCATTACATCCTCAGCCTTCAGGATTCCAAGCCTTCAGGATGCCTCTAAGCAAGAGCCTCTATTCACGCAATACAAGTAGGGAGCCAATTATTCTCTTTTGCCATTAGCATCCTGTCTTCTCTAAAATAGAATGGAATAGAGCTGGAAGGGAGGTCTTCTAATCCAGCCCCCTGTTCAAGCATAGAACCTGCTTGAGAAATAAAGCTCACAACAATCAAGAAGTAGCCAGGAAACTATCTCAGGTGTTTCTAATTGCTCAGGATCAACCCCTCTGGGCATATTCTAGATTCCCTCAAAGAATATGGGATTCCGTGCCCAAGCCTGGTGGCCCTACACTGGCCCAGTGGACAGCTTCTCATGTCCTTCTTCTGTAAGCGAAGAATGGTTGCAGGAATTGGGTATGTCTCCAGTCTAATCAAGAAAAGGATCATGTGATACGATAGCAGTCTTCCAATATCTGAGGGGCTGTCACAGAGAAGAGGGGTCAACCTATTTCCCAAAGCACCTGAAGAAGCACCTGACAAGAAACAGGAGAGAAGCAACAAGAACTAAGGAGAAATTTCCTGACTTCAGAAGTTGTGGGGGCTCCATCACTGGAGGCTTTTAAGAAGAGATTGGTCTTAAAATAAACAGAAAATCACACACAAAAAAAGAAAAACCCCAAATCTAAACCCAATTTTTATCATTCAATCTAACACCTTATTCTAACATTTAATTTTCTGATATATAATCCACCCTAACTCTTAAACTTCACATCCAAACAGCACTTTATAATATTCCTTTAGCAATTTAACAATTTCTGTTTATTTTAAGATGTTAATGGAGGGAATTGGGATTTATATCTATGTTACACCGGCCAAACACTTGCTCCAAAAAGATGCGTTGTTTTATGTTTTATTTCTTAAAAAAATATTTTTTTTTCCAAAAAAAGAAAAAAAGAAGAGACTGGTCAGCCACTTATCTGAAATGGTGTAGGGTCTCGGGTAGGCGGTTGGATTAGAAGACCTCCAAGATCCCTTCCATCCTTATTATTCCTGGCTCTGCATGGCCTTCGAGACCCAGCTGGCTTAATCCCGTGTCTGCGCTTCACTCCGGAGAGTCTCCGTGGGCAGCAGAAGTGCTGGTGGCCCCAGAAGCCCCAGGTGAAGCCACCCCTCCCCCCAGCGAGCCTCTGGTCACTTCCGCTCACTTCTTTAAGGCCATCACAGCCTCTGATAGGGTCAGTTTCCAGGTTGCAGGAGGCAGGACTTTCAGGGGGCCCTCCCAGCTTTCTCTCCCTGCCCCATCAGGATGGCTCCTCCCCCTTTAGCTCCCCAGGAGTGAAACTTAGCACCGGCCACCTTGACTCAGGTGTGCCCCGCCCGCTTTCTTGGCTACTTACCATCAGCCCCCCTTTGTCCTTGCCCCCCACCACATACAAGCTGCCATCGCTGGGGTCGGGGAGAAACGCGGGCCTGGACAGAGAAGACAGAAGGAGCTGGCCCTGGACAGCTCCTCCGGCACAAGGCCAGCCAGGCCACCTGGGCAACCGGCCACACGGCTGCCGGACCACCGGCGGAGAGCAGCCCCCCCACCCCTTCCTCTCAGCCGCCCTCGGCCCCCTCCTCGGCTGCCTTGGGGGGGGGCGAGAGGGCAGGCGGCCTTTGGGGTGAGCGGGGCGCGCCTTCTCCCCGCCGAACAAGCTCGGCCGGCGCCACTCACTCGGGCTCTCGGCGGGGCACCAGCAGAGGCGGATCTGAAAGCAGAGCAGAGCCCGTCAGAACCGGGAAGAGGACGCTCTGGGGGGGGGGGCAGGGGGTGTTAGAGGAGCAGCCCCGGAGCCCCGTTCGCGCTCACCCTCCTTCAGCGTCCACCGGGCGTCCCCCGTGGCCGGGTTCACTGCGCGGAGGCGCCCGTCCAGCGTGGCCACCAAGAGCGGCGGCGGTGGCGGCAGCTCCGGCTCCGATTGTGCCGCTGCAGAGCCGCCGGGCAGAACCTGCGGAGAGGGCAGAAGCGGCGGGTGGAGCCGGAGCCAGACTCTCGGACGCGCCGTCGAAGGCGGGCGCGGCCTTTCCGGAACCGGCCTGGCACCGCTCCGGCGCGAGAGACCGGACAACCCTGCGCCCGGGCACTTCGCGCGACGCCCGTCGGGGGAGGCTGCGCGTTGCCCGACGCCGAAGAGAGCGGGCTTTGGGGACTCCAAGCCGGCGCCCTCCGTCAAAAGCGACTTGGCCGACTGAAGGCGAGGGCTGCCCGGCGCTGGCAGCGGCTCTCCGGACCATCGAGGATCAGGCCGGCTCCCCCCGCCGCCAGTCCGCCTGGGGCTCCGGACTCTCCATCTCCCATCCTCCGCGCTCTTCCTGAAGCTGCGCCGGGAGAGCCAGAGCCCCCACGCGAGCCGCCAGCCGCCTCCGCGGACCCTCCTCGCCCTCCCTTCCGTGGGAGCAGCTCTGCGGACCACTTGAGCAGCCTCCCCTCGAGGAAAGCGGGAGGGAGAGGAGGAGGGGCGGCGGCCCAGGCTTTACCTCCGCCACCAGCAGCAGCAGCAGCAGCGGGAAGCGGCGCGGGGTGGGCGCTCGGCGGTGGCCGGTCGGGGGCTGCTGGTCGGCCTCGCCCATGGCAGCCCTGCCACGCCGCGCTTCCTGGGCTGCGCGCCACCCCTGCCTGCTGCCCGCAGGGAGGAACCGGACTTTCCCGGCCGGCCTCCGCCCCAGATCCGGCTCCCGAACGGCACCGGCCTCCCGGCGCGCCCGCCTCAACTTCCTCGCCCCACCTCGCCCGGCCTGAACACCCCCCTGCCCCCCCGCCAAGGAACGCGCGCTCCGGACATGCTCAGAGGCACCTGGAGGTGGCCCACCGGCCCCGCCGCTCGCAAGAGGCTCTGGGCAGCGACGAGGACAGCAGGAGGGGACGGAGGTCTGCACGTTGAGCACAAACTCCCTGATGGATGAATAAACCGTTCGCACTACGCGCCAACCGTAAAACACGGGTACAATTATTCTGGCTGGTTCACACGACAGATAACGCGGAGCGGAGCGACCCCTGGAAGTAGCTCCCCAGCGAGCCAGGCCGGGCCTTCCCGTAGGACGCCTTCGCAGCGCCCCTTTGGCCGGTTCAACTCAGCCTCTGGCGATCCTCCGTCACCCCGGGCATGGCTGCCTCAAAGGGGCTTTTCAAAAGGCAACGCTGGACTTTCTTCTTCTTTCAAAACGTTTCGCTTCTGATCCAAGAAGCTTCTTCAGTTCTAGCCCTTTGGGACTCAGGGTCGTGGGAATGAAGCGGCCGCCAGAACTCGCGCCAGCCTCCCTCCGGCCGCAGACGAGGAGCGCGGGGGGCTCTGGGGACGCGGACTCGCCTCCACCCCCTGCAGGACGAGAAACCCGCCGGACCGGTTTCTCTCCGCCGCGGGCAAACTGTCTCGCCCTCCAGCGGGAAAAAGGCTCGGTGGGATCCGGAGGACACGGGAGCCCCGGTCTCACGCGCGGGCTCAGGGAGATGCGCGGGCGGCCATAGACTGTGCGGGGGTCTCGCTCCCCCCGTTTCTCTCCAGCGTCCCAGCTTCCAAGGACGCCCCTTCCAGCCCTCCTGGAGAGCAGGGCCTAAGCAGGGCTCCCGGCTCGACTCTCGACAGCCCGGAAAGATCGCCACGGGTGCCTTGAAGCCCCCGGTGAAGAAACTAAGCTGGGGAGGGGGCATCCCTTCTGCAGGGAAAGCAAAAGCGGCTGTGGAGGAATCGCAGCCCCGCAGGGACAAACAGGCTCTTGGGCACCAAGGTCTTAAACGCCCTTCCAGGGACACAAGAAAACCACCCTTGGGCAAAAAATGCTCAAAAGCTCACACACTGGGCACCCATACCCTTTTTTTGGGGGTGGGGAGGTGCCATTGAGCGCTGACTCCTGGAGCCTGCCTGGCTCCCTCCCTGCAGTTTTCTTGGCAAGGTTTTCCGTAAGTGTTTGCCCAAGGCAGGACTAGAACCCATCACATCCTGGATTCTAGCTTTATGCCACTACAACAGAATGCAAACATAATGAAAAGTCATCAGTCAGGAGTTATTTTGCTTATTCTGTGTGCTCATTAATCGATATGTATATGTGTGTGTTAAGTGTTTGGGTAGATATACACTCTCTCTTGAAGAGCAGGCAGCAGAATTTCATTTTTAATGTGGGCCAGTGCACAGTAAAAGAATGACAATAACATTATCTTATTTTGTTTAGTTATCTCTGTAATTTATTTGTATGCCTCCCCCCATTTCATTTTCAAGTGGTGAGTGCTCTCAAGTATTCCCCATTTATGCTCCCTGCGAGTTAAGAGTGGGGCTTGAGGCAGGCAAAGCAGGCTCCCCATGGCTTTCCTTTCTGATGTCAGCTGGGAAACATCACCTGGGTGGCCAATTGTGGATTGGCAGAGATTAATTTTTTTGGCAACAGTCCTGGGGGCCTTTCCAGTGGCAAAAGCATCCCCCATTTACTTAAGGGAAGTTAAACAAAAGGCCTCTGGGGGCAAAAAAGAAAAGGAAAAAGTTGCTGGGAGAAGATGGTAGAATGGAAACAGGTAACTGGGAGAGGACAGACAGACCCCTCAATTCTGCTTTGCTTCAGGACCCTCCCCAAGACTCCTGCAGCACAATTGCCACAAAGTCCAGTGACAGTTGGGAAGCATCGGGGTGGACCAGTCTTGAAGGAACATCCTGGAGCCCCTTTCTGTGAGAGACTATGGAGAATGAGCAGAAGAGCAAATGCTTGGGGGAAGGGGGAAAGACCCAGATAACTAGAGACCAGCAGGCAAAATCAGGGCATTAAACAGACTAAAAATGCAGGACTCAACAGGAGCCAGCATTAATTGATCAAGAACCACGCAAAAAACCTGAGATCCACGTTACAAAAAAGATATTGAGACTTTGGAAAAAGTGCAAAGAAGAGCAACTAAGACGATTAAAGTTCTGGAGACTAAAACACGAAGAACAGTTGCAGAAACTGAAGATGTCTATGTAGCAAAAAGAAGGACTAGGGGAGACATGATAGTAATCTTTTAATATTTGAGGGGCTACCACAAAGATAAAGGGGTCAACCAATTTTCCAAAGAACCAGAAGGCAAGGCAAGAAACAACAGATGGAAAATAATCAAGGAGAGAGGCAACCTAGAATGAAGGAGAAGTTTCCTGACAGAATAATGAATCAATAGAATGGCTTGCATTCAGAAGTTGTGGGTGCTTCGTCACTGGAGGCTTTTAAGAAGAGACTGGACAGCCACTTATCTGAAATAATATAAAATCTCCTGCTTCAGCAGGTGGTTGGACTAGAAGATCTCCAAGATCCCTTCCAGCTCTATTCTGACTGAAATGATCTCCTCTCAATGTCTGCCAGGTAGAATGAGGGGGACACAGCACCTCACAACCTAAGCAAAATACGCAACAGTTTGCATAAGGAAAGGACAAAAAGTGAGCTGGGTTGAGTTACCCTCACAGACAAAGATACCAAACGAGTGGACTCGTTTTTATATCACACCGGAGGGAAGCGTGGACTCGTGGACTGCAAGGCTCCTTTCAGGACCTTGGACTGGCCAAAATTTCAGAGATAACTCAAAAAATATGAATATTGATTTGGCAGACCACCCAAATAACTCCTGTATTTAGATAACAAAAATAAAAGACAAAGGATGGAGGAATAATAAAGGTGGGAAAGATCTGGTGTCCTGGTGCATCTGAAGCTGAATATGAGCCAACAGAGTGATGCACCTGCAAAACAAGCCAATACAGTCCTGCGCTGCATCAACCGAAGTTTATCAAGATCAAAAAAGTCATGACTCCTGTCTGAAATATTGCTGTCAATTCTGGGTATTTCACTCTAAAGACATTCCAGATACTAAAGAGCTTATTCACAGAATAGCCAGAATGCATGAGGAACTCTTGGAGGTGTTGCGTCTTTTAAGAAAAGATTGTGTAGAGAGCTGGCAACTCTCTTCAGGCATCCAAAGGCTTTGGACAGAAGATGGAGCAGTTGTTCCAGAAGACAGAAACGAGGGGTAAGAGCTGCTCCCTTGGAATCCAGTGGTCCTCTCTGCTGGAATGTATCAGCTCAAGTTGGATGGCCATATCGTAGTGACAGGGGGATGGACTAGAGGATCTCCAAAATACCCTCCAATCTCTAACATTTCTATGGTACTAGGACTTGACAGCTGCCAAACTTTCGATTCCAGGTGCCCTGCACAATGAAACTTGGGCATGGGGTCAACACCAGGTCGATCTGTTGGAGCTGGAGGCCTCTTCTCGCACCCCTGGAATACAGGATAGGAGCCTTTAAGTTGCCCGGAGAAACAGGGAGCAAAAGAGTCGGTGTATTTTGCAACACCCATCAGCCAGGAGGAAGGAGCGCCCGGGGTGAGGCATTTTGGACGGGGAAAAATATCCTCTGAAATTAACTGCAAGCGTTGGGTCTTTGGACCTGCTGACACCAAGAAAGATCCCAGAAGTCAGTGAGGATAAATTCAGGTCCGGAAGAGCATTCCCAGTCCCTGGATCCAATGGGGCTTCCTAATCATCCTTGTTACAATTTTGACACCAGAAGCCTTTCCAGCACTGAGAGGCCGAGATGCTTTCACTCCGGTCTCAGGGTGAAATGGGAGGGAAACACCATCACCAGTTAGCTGGGGAGGAGGCTGAGGAGACTTGCTCCCCAAGGGTGGCAAAAGAGATTAGGAAGACACCAGGGGACACTTTCTTGATTTCTCAGGAAGGAAGGAAAGAAGTGAGACTGCAGGGACAGGCCAGGAAGACTCCCCAGTGTAGACGGAAAGTTCTTCTTCAAAACAGCTGCTCTACTGGGTTGTTGGGGGGAAAAGGCAGATGTACAAGGAAGGCTGCTGGCAGGCAAGACCCACATCCCCCCATGTCCAAGGCTGCCACTTCCTTCCCTCCCTCACGGGGGAGATCACCAACCCCCCCCCCCCAAAGCTCCTAATCCCCCCTCCAGGGTCGTGGTGGCCTGTTTCTCTTCTCTGTTCATCTGGGGAAAAAAATACACAGGAATCCACACCTTCCAAAATAGCTGCTGTGGGCCCTCAACTAGTCCTGGGAAAGGAAGTTGGCGGCCCACAGATGTCCTGACCTGCCCAGAAACAGCCATGCTGCTGAAAGGCACACCCTGTAGGGAGAGGGTGCTTGCTGCAGCTGGATGTGAACCGCCCCTTGCTTGGAGGGCTTTGTGAACTGGCAGCTGGAAGGAAGATCTTCCAGTGCTTTATTCAGTAATGAAAGGAGGGGGATTCCAGCCCCCCCCCAATGATCAAGACAACTTTTAAGAGAGAAGAACCCCCAAAGGGGCGGGGAAACAGAACCAAAATCAAGCTGTAGCTTGTCCCCAGATGGATGGGGGTGGGGGGAGGGAAGGAGCCTGCTCTCTGCACTTGCTCCCCCATTTCAATTGCTTTGATTTGAAATGTGGCCCTGTTCCTCCAGGAGGCTGGCAGAGAGAAATGCCTACTCTTCTCTCCTCCCTCCTCACTTATAAAGAACCGTCCAAGCAGAGTTGAGGCTGAAAGGCCACTCTGAGAAAAATCAGCGCTAGGCAGGAGGCAAACGGAAGTCAGGCAGGTGATCTGGCACTCTACCTCCAGCAAGGTGACCTGTGCAGGGGAATTGCAGGCACATCGCTTGTTTTGCTCATGAGCTCCATGACACGCTGCTGCTGCTGCTGCTGGAGCATTAGCTGACTGTGCTCACATCATACATGCAGGAGAGAAAACGGCTCCATGCCTCCTTTGTTCCCAGGAGGCCCCCAGGCACCCTTGCCCACGAAGCAGGAGGGGAGCAGCAGGGCAGAGGAGGTGGGGGCCCAAGACCCCTCCTTCCCATTCCATGGGAAGCTTGGCGGTTGGAGGAGTTTCAGAACAGAAATTCCTGCTTACTTGAAGCTTCAGAGAATGCAGCACCCATAGCAGCAACTCAGCACCAGACCATCGAACAGGGTCTATTTTGGATATGCTTGAATTAAGCAAGAATCGCCAAAGGTCTATTGCCAGCCAAAAATGTAAGAGATACCAATTAAAATCCAGCTACAAGATTCTGAAATTGGTTGCCTTGTTTCTCTGGGTCCTTGGCTCTATTCAGGCCACGGAGTCCGATCACAGATGTGGCAATGTAGGTGGCGATCTATTTGGGCTGCAACTCTCTGCACGCTGACCGGCAAATAAGCTGGCTGAACCCAGGGAGACTCACTTGCACAGAAACTTCTTTAGCACCGCATAGCAGCTCCTACGTTTTCAGCTGTTGATCATGTTTACCCAAGTTAGACTAAGATAAATACAAGTAAGATAAGAGTTCAATGTGATCAAGTTTATTACCACACCTTAATTTCATTTATAGGAATATTTATTTTCTGTGAGCTTTTTCTAAAAAGATAAGTTTCATAATGGTCTACATAAAATTTTCCAGGTAGTAAAGTCTTCCTTTAGTCATTACAATTTTGGTAAAGTCCTATTTTTGAAAATTCTACTTTCTCCTACTTGCAAAGCTTACTCCAAGGAAATCCTACTGAGTTCAATGGAAATTATTATAACTATTTGCAGTAGGTGTTACAAAAATCCTCCGTTAGATATCTTAGGATACAGCAGCTTGGAGGGCTATATTTAACACTAGGTATATTTGTAGGTATTGTTTGAGTAAAATTAAGACATAAACACAAAAATAAAAAGTTTTATGTTTTTGTCATAAATATACTCAGAATAATTCAGTTCTGCTTATGATGCAGAATAAATGACACAGAATAACTAGACCAACATGTCTATTTTTTTCTGGATTCTTTTCCTCTTCCATGGCTTCGTAAGTTTTCAGAATAACAACCAATCTCTAACCTGGATATCTGTAGAAAACGGCCTACATAGGAGCTGTTACGATTCCCAAGCCTCTTTAAATTTACCATTTGAAGGGCACTAGATGGGAAGAGCAGCAGAAGGTGGCCCTTTCAGTCTGGCAAGAAACACAAAAAGCCTGTGAGTGTAATTCCCCAGCATGGTTTTCAAGAAAGGAAGGAACAAAAAAGGAAAACTAAAATGAAAGTTCACTATTGGCATTCCAGAACTAGCAGGCCTGGAACCAAAGCCACTCTGGCGGTTACAAGGAAGAAGAATATGGCAGTGACCTGGTGCCCAGGTCGGCTCTGAAAAGCCTTTGGTTGCATCTGCTAGCTTGGAAGACAGGATTTCTTACCCTTGGACGCGCTGCTTTAAGAAAACTCCCTGCGGGAAAGAAAACGCCAAATACTAAGTCCACAAAGCAGCAACAGTAGCACCTTTAGAGCCAAGTGCTCTTGGGTTATTAAGAAATGGCCAAAGAAAGCTTCTTAAGGCAACTAGGCTCCCCCAGTTATGGCAACAGCAGTGGGGGAGAGGAAGCATGGGAAAACAAACCCAACTAAGCAACATGTCGGTTTGATGGCACATTTCCCAAATAACCTCTCCCTCCCTCCCTTCCACCAAATAACAGATATGAAAAGATTCGCCACAGAATTTAAAACGAGCTGACCCCCCTTTGGGCTCAGAGTGGAAACTGTACCCTACCAATACCAGAAAGGTTACAAAAGCCTAAGGACAAGAAAGAGAATGGCTTATGAACCCCCCCCCCCCAAGTTTACGTACAGTTGAAAAGTTTTCATGAATGTTCCAAGAGAAGAGAGGAGTAAAACCTATTTCTCCGACGCCCAATTACAAGCCCAAACAATGGTATTTATATATGAAGAATTATGAAAATATCCGCCTCTTGTCCAAGCCATGTAGAAAATCCACAGTGATGTATTGTTTTGGTTTGGTTTTGTCGAAATCTGAAGAGCTGCAGAGTTGAAGTGTATTTACACACAGTGGTTTGTAAATTAAGATTTATTGATTTCCATTGTATTTGCTTTTTTTTTTTTAAATACGGTTGAAGCTGCCGCAGAACAAGAGCTGCTGCTGTTGCTGCTGCTGCTGCACTGCTTTAAGTTAAAAATGAACTAATGGCGAGAGATCCCCACCTCTGGCGTTCTCCCAGGCCTCTCCGAGATGGCGTTGATGAAGAAGTTCTAGGAGCCTAACCCATCCGGGCCTCTTCCAGCAGTGTCCTTAAGATCCGAGTCCGTCTCCATGCCAGAGGTGAGCGTGCCTTCAAAAGTACTGCCACTTCCCTAGCACCGTGTCCTTGATTGCGTCCACGTACTGAGTGGGCACCCAGTAGACCCAGTAGTAGGAGGCTTCTGTGGGACCCAATTGGAAAGCCTAAGGGAGGAGGAGGAGGTTTGAAAACCCATGAGCCACAATCACTTCCTTCACAGTAAGTCAGCGTCAGGTCCCTCACAGAGAAGCTCTGTATTTACTTCCAGTTTTAGAATCAAGGGTTTTATGTCAGAAACTCTTACCTGGAGTCCAATGATATAAGGCAAACATTACAGCAGTAAAGTAACAATCTCAGTTCCAGGTCCCCTCCTGGAAAGTTTGAGGCCCACTCCTCCCCATTTTTCCAACTCAGCAAGGCTGGCGGACTTTCAGCTACCCCACAAGGAGCCCTGAGGAAGCGGCTTTCTCCTCCCCTTGGATCCGGCAGTCTGGTTACCAATTCCTCCCGGCCACAAACCAGGGGCTGCTGCTTCGTTTGAACTGGTCGAACCGAGCTTGGCTCTTCAATCTGGGACTGCATCCACAGGCTGAAGCTGCTTTGTAATCTAGCTGCCTTAACAAACCAGATTTGGAACCAAAGTAGTTACCACTGATGTGCAATGAAGAGAAAGCGGTAATTGCAGGGCTCAGATTCCCCCAGATGCAAGACCATCCATCAGCACTACCGGGGGAGGGGAGGGCTTATCAGGTAAACAGCCCCCTGAGAGGAAGTTTGTGTTCTGGTCCTCCATAGAGCAGGACAGAGGGATGGCAGAAAATGCATTAAAGAGGATGTTCATAATGCCAGGAGACCCAGAACCGGGTAATTATTTTCTATAAATGGATTCATTTCTTTGATTTATAGGATTATCTAACTGAAGTAACTCAAAGCGGGATACCACGGATTAAAGGCGGCATGGAAAACCCTGCTAGTACAGGAACAAATACAACAACTGCAGTGCACTGAGAAAAAAATTTCCTACAGTAATCGTTCATAAATTGGATAGCCTAGTGCTTGCTTTAAAAAGCAAAAATTGAATGCTTTCCTGAAGGTCAACAGAGTCGGAAACCAACCAACCTCAGGGAGGAAGCTATTCTTGGGGGCAGGAGCAGCAACACAGAGAAATCACCCAAAATGCTGCTGTTCTGTAGATGGGACCCAATCACACCCACCCTGTCCACTCTTATAGGACAGGCAGACCTAATTAGAGAGCCCCACAAAGTATCCAGAGTCCAATGCAGGGCTTTGTAGATGACAACTGGTACCCTGAGGAGCCCAGACACCAACTGAGAACAGGACCCTTGCAGTGTAGAGATGCCCCCCTAACTACCTGTGCAGCTGCGCTCCAGATCAATGGGAAGGGCCAAGCAGTCCCTAGAGAGCAGGGGACTCCAACCTGGGCAAAGCTTTGCTGGCTGAGGAATTCTGGGAATTGAAGTCCACGAGTCTTAAAAGTTGCCAAGGTTGGAGACCCCTGCTATAGAGCAACTGCAGTACAGACAGGCCTTGCTTAGCAACTATTTGTTCAGCAATCATTCAAAATTATGACGCTGAATGAAGGGATTTATGACCCTGAAATTACGATCATGTGACTGCAGTGATTCTGGGCTCTTGGCAACCTGTTCTTCCTCACTATGGGTTGCCAGGTGCCTTGCGGTTGTGTGACTGCCAGTTGCAACCTTCCCAACTGGCTTTCCCAGAAATTCAACATGGGAGCCGAGAGGGAAGATTGCAAGCTGAGGCCAGCTGGCTGGTTCCTGGAGGCTGCCTGAAGCAGGATTTTGACATGGAACATCTGCAGCAGGGAGGACTTGCTGCCGCCACCACCACCACCAGAATCCAGAGGGAGCCCTCTTGTCTCTGGGGCTGTCTGCAAATGCCCCATGAGGCAACGATTCTGCTTTTTCAGCCAGCCTCTCCGAGAGCAAAAGGGATGCCATGGAAGCGGCCCTGGCCCCTGAGGCAGGCGGCCCCTTTGCTTCATCCACCTAATGTCCTGGGGAATCATTTTACAACTGCAATCAGGAGTGCAGGGATTGTGGTTGCTGAGTGAAGCAGTCATATGATGTCTCACTTAATATCTGTTTCACTCAACCACCCAAGACTCTGGTCTCAATTGTGGTTGTAAATTGAGGATTACCTATAGTCCAAATAGGAGGTGACTTAAGTTATGATCTGGGCAAAATCTGCTCTTTCAAGTGCAGGAGGAACCCCAATTGTGCGTACTTTCTCCTGGGGAAGCCCAGCCCCCTTGAGAATGAAATCTGACACGTTCTCAGACACAGCTGATCCCCCAACTCAAAGCCACCCCTAACAGCCTGCAGTCCCTGCGACTCTCTCTCAAAAGGTTCACTTGGGTAGCTGGGGGGGGGGGGTCAAGGTGGATAAGTGGGATTCATCAGCATACTTTGGCCCTTGACCTGGGCCTTTGGATGACCTCTCCCAGCAATCCCATGTACATCTTAAATAAGAGACACTGATCTCTGAGGAGGCTTAAGGTTCGCTCTCTCGCTTCTACCGCTTCCACGCACCGACCTAGGAGACAGAAGAAAAGCCACTGCAAAACAGCGCCCCTCTCAAACCCTGAAGTCGGTCCAGACGGCTGACACAATCAAGGCTGCTAAGACCTCCGGAAGAGTCGCACTGCCTCTCTCCTGGATCTGCCTGAGATCATCTGCACGTCCAATCAATGCTGAAAAGATTCCAGGTGATCTTTTTCTTCCAGGATTCTCTGGAATTTCAACTCAACCATCTTCTCCACAATCTTTCCTCAAAAGAGGGAGTAGATGGAAACTGTCCATCATCTCTGTATCCACTGATGGCTTCTTAGGGAGGAGGCACACACCACCCCTTCACTCAAGGAAGAAGCCCCTACAGCAAGGGTGTCAAACTGGCGGCCCGGATGTGTCATGCACAGGCCACGCCCACCCCAGCTCCATGAATAGGGAAAATGTCGCGAAACATCACATGACGGCAACATGACGCGGTGAGTTTGACACCTGTGGCCTACAGTAACACATTTCCTTCCGATGGCCCCGCCAGGCAAGAGGGACATGGATCTGTCATACAGGCAGCTGCACTAACAATTCTAAAACCTGTTCCTCAAGGCTCACCAGACAAAACTCCTCCCAGATAAAGAGCAAGTCCAAAAGAACCTGCCTGGCTGGAGTCCAGTTTGGAGCAGATCTGTGGAATTTTATCCCTCAACTGCCAATCATGATGCTCACAGTGGCCCACAAGATATTGGTCTGGCATCCTCTTCCCAGAGAAGTTCCGCTCACCCTCAGCCAGGCTGCTAAATGGCATTCGGTGGACACAAGAGCAGGAAAACAATCAAGTTCTGCTACTCTTATTGCCACAATGGAGTCCTTAATACGGGTTCCAGTCTGGTTTGGTCCTAGTCTCTTCCCAGCAGCATCCTCAGTATTCTGCTGCTGCTCATTTTCTAGGGCCAAGGAAGCCCTAACAGGGATATAAGTGGAGGCCATTTAGGATCAATCCAAACCCACATTTTGTAACCTCATTTCAAGTGAGGAATCAGGCTGTGGTTCAAACTGCCCCTCAGAACCTCAGAAAACTCCCCAAACACACTCAGGATATTAACTGGATGCATCCAGCACCTGAACATTCAAAAAGCTTCCAGACAACCAGACTGTGGTCTGACCACAACCAAGAGCAGGCATTACATTAACCTTCTTCAGCAGATCATGTTGCAACTGCCCCGGGACTGACTGACTGACTGACTGACTGACTAAACAAAGAAACAAACAAACAAAGAAAAAGAAAGAAAGAAAGAAAGAAAGAAAGAAAGAAAGAAAGAAAGAAAGAGAGAGGGGGGGGGGAAATCCAAGGCGTGCCCACCAGTGTGCCGAGTGCTTCATGATCTGTGTTCCATTCATGGTTATCATGCTAGCCATGAATTCCTGGGGCACTTCAGATTCTGCACTGAGTGGAGACAAGTCACTCGGTCTCCATGGTTCAGGAGACTCCACCAGCAGCCTAGCCTTGAGCGGGGAAGCGGCAGAATAGTAGGCAGCCAAGACTAGAGCAACAATCCTGACTGACAGGAAGGTCTCATATTGGATTTGGAGGGGGGGGGGGGCACAATTCCTCTGGAATCCATCCAAATCTCTCACATGACAACAGATACTCCATCCCTCCCCCAGACTTGGAATGAAGCTTCTTCTGTGCTCCTCCAGGCCTTGGTGGAACATTCCAAATCTATCCTAACACAATAATGGACGACCAAGTCCCATTACAGGCTGACCTGGCACCCAGCAACCGCAGTTGGAGACCAAGTCACCTGAAGGCCAGATGATCTGCGACTTGAGATGACTACAGATGGGGGAGAGTGAAACTGAAGGCGAGAGCTAACTAACTGCCAAGAATGATCGTTACAGCAAAGAAGCAGAAAATACCCAACTGGCTTTACTTAAACGTTTTAAAGTGGTTAATGTCCTGGCTTGTTGAGGGACCAAGATACCCCTGATATAAAGATCTGCTTCCTCCATGGATAAACTCTGCTGCCGCCCCTAAAGCTGACTGCCTTTGCCCATTGGAAGGCATCAATCCTCAGCCAAAGACACTTACCATCATATGATAATCTTCATGCCCTTCAATTGGTTCGCTCACCACGTTCTTGATGGATCCCATGGGTAACTTTTCTGTTCTTTCTACATTGAAAGATAGAACAAGTTTGGATAACTGATGTTCCACATTGCCCCACATTCTCCCCTCCCCCCACCTACCAAGCCTATCTTAAAAGGACAAGGTAAGAATACCATCATTCCAATCTTTTACTTGCTCTTGTCTGACTGGACATGCGGCCTATGGCTGGATAAAGGATCAACTCCCATAGTAACTAGTATCTGCGTCAAACTTTACATATTCTGGTCTCAGTAATTTTCCCAACTTTTATCACCAGGCTAGGTAGCATCTTCAATGCACGGAAGGTCGGTGTTTACCAATTGGCCTTGCTCAGTGATTTCTTCCTTGACAGTGGAACATCCCAACTAAGACTGTCAAGGTAAGCTACTACAGGTAGCCCTGTTAACAATGGTAATTGGGACCAGAACTTCCATCACTAAGCAATGTAGTCGTAAACCATGATGTCATGTGACTGCACTGCTTAGCAATGGCAGTCTGCTTTACCATCATTATCCAAATCCCACAGGTTGTTAGGTGAGGATTCACCATTACCGGCTTGGTCCCTCCCAGCTTTCACCCTTGGTATGATAAGGGACTGCCTCCTCTTGAGCTACCCCACCATGGTGGGGCACTGGTTAGAATGTAGATTGCAGGCAAACTCTCCTCTCAGTCTGGAGCTCGATCTTGACCAGCTCAAAGTCGACACAACCTTCCATCCTTCCAAGATTGGTAAAATGAGGACGTAGATTGCTGGGGGCAATGTGCTGGCATTGTAAACCACAGAGAGTGCTGCAAAGCACTATAGAGCAGCATATAAGTCTAAGTGCTATTGCTATCTCTGCCCTTTTGGCTGCCTGCCTTCCCATTGCCGCCAGCTGCCCACCACCTCACCTGGCTGTTACACTGCACACCACTACGTACCAATTGGGTCCTTCTTTTGTGCTGGTGCAGCCAGGGCTTCTCTCACGCCCTGCCCAGGATCTCCGTTGGTGCCCCGCCCAGAGCTGTCTTTTGCAAAAAGAAGCCTGGTGGGTAAAAGGAGGCCCTGGCCATGCTGGTGCTAAAGAAGCCTGGAGAGAAAGAAGGCCCTGGCTGGCACAGCAGTGGTGCCATGCGTGGTGTGGTGTGGTGGCAGGACAGCTGATGACACCAGTTAAGAGGCTGGCCAAACGGCAGTCCTAGGTGAGCTGGAGTTTGTTCACATGACCATCATAGACATACTACAATGTCCAGAACTTCAGGGACCAGTCATTGAATAAATGAATGCTAAGCGAGAAATACTCTTTAAATAATCCACCCGCAAACTTCACTCTCCCTTGTATTGAGGATGTTATCTACACTGGTTAACAGAAATGGACGCAGGAACAACCAGGCCCAGATTTCAACAAGAACCTAAATTATCAGCTGCTTAGATCTAAACAAACATTAAATAACAACAAAATTATCAAATTGTGCATTTACTGGAGAAAAGCATTCTCCGCTTATTTATTTAAAGCAAAAATATAGCTTCAAAAGAGATGTCAGTAAGCAGCCAAAATTACTGAACTATGCTCAATATAACATTAACAAAAAATGAACTATGCCACACAAAAAAGATTGAGTTGCTTTTGTAATATGAAAAAAGTACAAATATTTTGAACTTGGTGGAGCAAAGCATTCTGTGCCCATTGATCCCATTATGAGATACTTATTTATTTACTATAATTTATATTCAACTCAATTCAACAAGGCTCTAACAACCTAAAACATATACTTAAATATAGGTAGTCCTCAACTTGCAACAGTTCATTTAGTGACCATCCGAAATTACAAAACACTGAAAAAAAGACTTATGACCAATTTTCACACTTATGACTGTTGCAGCATCCCCATGGACAGGTGATCGAAATTCAGACGCTTGGCAACTGACTCACATTTATGACACTTGCAGTTCCTGGGGTCATGTGATCACCTTTTGCAACCTTCTGACAAGTAAAGTCAATGGGGAAGACACTATCAACCGTGTTGCTAACTTAACACCTCCAGTGATTCACTTAACAACTGTGGCAAAATAAGTGGTAAAATGGTGGAAAATTCACTTAACAAATGCCTCACTTAACAATATAAATTTTGGGCTCAATTGTGGTCTTAAGTTGAGGACTACCTGTATTGTAAAATATATGCTACCAAACCAAAATTAAGCTTGCATAATTATTTTAGAAGCATTTAAAATTAACAGTATTTGCTGTTAAAAAAGATAAGCAAGAACAGTAATGCTTAACAGCACCAGAAAGTAAAAAAATATATATAAAAAAAGTTAAACAATACTTCTGGACTGTTTTGTAAATTGTTTATAGTGAAATATCAAGAGTGAAAAACAGCCCCATAAACTCCATCTTACATGGAAGCTTCACAATTACATCTCGTTTAGCTTGCAGGTCTTTCACTTGCATTTCAGCCAACTGATGCTACAGGCTTCAAGTGCCAGACAGCAGAGTCAGAGGGGCTCCATCTTGTCTTGAGGCTGCTCTCCTGTTTTTGCCCTAAAAGCATCCAGTCGAAGGTCAACTAAAGACCCTCCTGGCATTAATGTTTTGGCTCTTTAAGCTTCAGACATTGCTCACAAATCAAAACGGAGCAACTTAAATTGGCTTAATTCACAGGTGAATTGGATTCAGTGAAGCTCACCAGCTCAGACACAATAACCCAGAAATCACAAAGTAGTGTTATCACACAAAGCTAAGCTTTCAGGATCAGAATAATGACACAACTTGAGCACACACCTTTAGTGCCAATCCAGAGCTGATCTTGTTCAAGTTTAAAGGTTAGCCGTACTTTTCCACCTGACTTGTTGTACATGCCTGATAAAGGGACGGTCGGCAGACGCTCCTAAAGAGGTTGAGACACAAGCTTTCTATGAACAAAGCAACTTACAAGGAAAAACACGACATTCTCTTTCCACCGTCTATCAGTAAGAACAGAATAGCAGAGTTGCCAATCTCTGGCCCTTCGACTCTTATTTCTTACCTGGACACCCTTGACAGAAGTCATGACATCTTCAGGCTTCCCTTTATCCAAGACTTTCCTATGTTGCTGTAAAGCAGAAATATAAATTAACAAAAGAACGATAGAAGTCTTGCCAGATTTCCACTTTGCTGACTTGCCAGCATATTAATGAGAAATCTAAAAAGTCTGAGATGCACAATCTTCACTCAGAAAATAGCACCCTACAAATAAGCTGCAAGCAGGTGCTAATTAAAAGACACCAAAGTGTTCTTATCATATCAGCATTTCTTTCTTAGGGAGCAGAATTCACATTTCCCCAACAAACAACCTGGCTGAAGTTACACAGCCAAATCTAGATGGGACAGGCAACTTTTTCAAATTCAAAGGATGAATTAAAGGAATGTGCTCTTACTTCAGTCAATGCATACCGCTCTATGTGCTCACAGAGCTGGAGGCTGCAAACCAAGTAGCAATCTCTACTCTCAAAATTCTGCAACTTGTTCCACTGTACAACTATCTTGATGCAGGTGCTCACAGAATCTCTGAATGGGGAGACCAAAACATTTGGAACATCTGCCTAAATGCACTCTGGTTTATTGCAGCTACAGAGTTCTATCATTGTAGGATCAAGGTGGTTGGATTTGCAGAAACAAACAAAAACCAGCCACTGAATGGTGGCGGCAAGAACGGCTAAACTCAGTCACAAGAACAGCACGTGGGAAGGAGGTAATACCAAGAGGTGATAAATCATGGGAAATATTAGCAGTGCCAGCACTGACAAAAATCCAAGGCAATAACAGGAGCCAATAAAAATAAGTAGAGCAGCTATAAATAACTTATGGTAAACCAACCAAAGGTTTTGGAAAGTTTAAAATAGTCTGCCTGTGCACGCTCAATTGCTTAATAGTTAAAAAATGAAACCACCTGTAAACAAGTCAGTGAGATGGCAAAAAATACGAGCAAGGGGGAAAAGATAGGCTTACAAGAAAATGCTTTATCTGGGCTGTTTTGCTCATGGCTGGCAAAATTAACGGGCAGAATTTCAGAAAAGGAATGTTGCCCTATTCTTTTGGAATATGGTGGACAAATCACCTGGTACCATCTACCTATAAAGGATGAGGCATAAGCTTGGGTTATCTTCTTCAAAACATCCCCAGTTCAAAGTCTACTAAACGTCAGAACCACTGACCAAAAACATCTCATGCCAACTGGACAATTAAAAAAAAGGAGCAGCACATTTGGTGACCAAAAAGCATTAACTGAATTATATTTGCCAATCTGGGGATTCTCTACAAGTTAAAGTTAGAGTGCCTTGTCCATGAACATGCTGTCAGGCAATGAATTGGCCATAAAGATTGTTTCCACCCATCTTAAAACTGGTGTGTTAATGAAGAACAAGGAACATCAAAGAGCCTTGGTGGTGCAGCGGACTAAGTGCTATTATGTAGCACTTAGCTGCCTGCAATTAGTGCGAGTTCAAATCTCACCAGGCTCAAGGTTGACTCAACCTTCCATCCTTCCGAGGTAGGTAAATTGAGGACCCGGATTGTGGGGGCAATAAGCTGACTTTGTAGAAACACCGCTTATGGGGGGCCAAAAGCCCTAATAAGCAGGTATATACAAAAGAATGAAGGCTATTGCTATAAGTGCATTGTAAGCCGCCCTGAGTCTTCGGAGGAGGGCGGCATATAAACTGAACTAATAAATAAATAAATAAGTACAAGGCTTTAGTTTAACAAAATATAAAGAGTCCTTCTTCCTTCTTCCAACAGACTGACGCTTCAAAAGTTTACCTTTTCTGGGAAGTTAAAAGCAGGTTCAAACCCATCCATCCCAGCTGGTGGTTCCGACTGACCTTTTGTCTGCAGAGGGGCTCCTTCTTGGCCTCTTCGGACTTGACTTCCTGCTGGGTGGCATCTTTTGGCGTGTTGACTGCCAAGACGTCATTGATAGTCGAGCCCACCACCATTATTTTTGCCCCACTGATCACTTTAATTTCTCGTAAGGTTTTTTCCTCTGGGAGCAGTCCTTTAAACATGACCTTTTGCATGGCGGGTGGGAGGCCTACCAAAGGGGAAACCAAGAGGGAGGCTTAGCACCGTGCCGGAGTCTTCCCGGGTCTCAGGCCGAGCTCCTTCTCCAGGGGACAAGAGGCGGCTTCTCACCTGTCAGCGAGTGGATCTTCAGCTTCAGGTCTGCTCCTGTGCTGTCCAGGGGGAACTTGAGGTCGTACTTGTTCTTGTTCCAGATAATCTTCAGCTCCACCAGCTCCTTTTCCATCTCGGCTTCGCCCCCGTTGCTGACGGAGGCCTCCAGGTCGGGGGGCGCCTGGCTCTGGGGCTCCGAGGCCTCCTCGGCAGCGAGCGAGCCGTTCTCCTCTTCGCCTGGGCAGCCCACGGGCGGGTTCCGCACTTCCGCGTCCATGCCGGCGTCCTCCGAGTCTGCGAAAAGGCAAGGCAAACGGCGATAGACCCGCGACCCAGGCGGCACCTGCGCGGCCCGGCCTCGCCCACGCCCCGCGCGGCTCCTCCCGGGGCTCCCTGCGCGGCCCGGCCCGGCCCCCCCTCGCGCCGCCCCCTCGCAGCCGGCCAAGGCGCTGCACGGACGGCGCCCCGCACAAAGCCGCTGCAGGCCGGAGGCTCCCCGCCGGCGGCGCGGCCGGGCTCGGGCGGCCTCCGCCGAGGCGCCGTAGTCGCGGCCCCCACCCGCCCCGGGCCCCCGCCTCGCGCGCCGCCGGGACGAGGCGGCCGCGGTCTCTCTCCCTCGCTCGCTCTCTCACGCGCACCGGGGGAGGCGGAGGTGGCGGCCATGATGATTGTGTACAGCCCGGCCGCGGGGCGAGTCGGGAAGGGCGCTGCGATTGGCCCTCGGCGGCCACCGTGGCCGCGCCTTCCGGCCGAGGGGCGGGCCTCGCCGGAGCGCCCCGCCCACCGGGAGGGGCGGAGTCTCCCGCTGGGAGCCGCCTGAGCGGCAGGCGCGCGTCGAACTTTCGGGACGCCCTGCGTCTTGGTCCGCCGCGCCGCGCTGCGCCCTGGCCGGAGTCTGCCTCGGGGACTTTCCCCTCCTGCGCTTGGGGAGGCCGCGAGTTCCACAGGGCGCGAGGGAGGGGAAAGCGGAAACGTGGAGGAAGCAACCCTGGGCAGTTCGCCCCTCCCACGTCGGCGCCGATAGGCTGGGCCGCGCGTGGGGGCGGGGCTTCCGCTGATGGCGCCGGGCGTGGCGGCGCGCGCCGTCCGGGTGAGATTCGCGCCCAGCCCGACCGGTGAGTCTCCAGCCCCGCCTGCACCCGGGGCTCTCGGCCTGGCCTCCGGGGGGGCCTTCCCCGCGTGGAGCAGCCGGAGCGGCTTTGGGAGGCTGCACGCATGCGCAGGCGGCCCAGCGAAGACCCCCCCCTCGGCAACTGGTCTTCCTGCGGGTGTGTGTGTGTGGGGGGGGGGGTCTTCCACGAGACCGAGGCAGGCAAGGGGCCTGTTGCCATAGAGGCCCAGTTTTCTTCCGGCTCTCTCCGTCCTGGCCTCCCCCACCACCACCACCTCGAACAGTTCACTGACACTTCCTTTCACTTTGGGCGGCCGCCGGGGGTCTTTCACATAGAGCTCCAAACCCCAGGAGAGCCAGCAGAACCCCGCCTGGGCTCTAGGCCACGGATCCCCAACCTTGGCAACTTTAAGACTTGTGGACTTCAACTCCCAGAATTCCTCAGCCAGCAAAGCTAAAGCTGGCTGAGGAATTCTGGGATTTGAAGTTCACAACTCTTAAAGTTGCCAAGGTTGGAGACCCCCTGCTCTAAGCGACACCCCCCCCCTTCCCCCAAGTATGCAAAGGCTGGCACTCACTGTTGGCTGTACCGCTCTTACCCAGTTCTCCTGCAATTCCTGTCCCCCCACGGCTTTTCTTCACGAGTCCTACTTTTGGGGGGGACAGTAACTCTTCAGTTTGCCTTTGGCCCCTTCAGGCTGTTTCAGTTGCACAACCGGACACCCCACCCGCTGCTGCTTCTCTGCCAGCTTTTATAGTTGCTGGGCTGGCTCAGGAGAGGCCTTAAAGGGACAGAGCACCAGCAGCCCAGGCGCTGGCCATTTGCAGGCTGCTTGCCCTTTCACACCTGCCCTTCATAATTTTAGGCTTTGCACCTGGGCCAATTGTTCTCTACGGGAGTTTTCCCTTTGCTCCTTTTCACAAAAGCTCCTAATAGAACCTAATTCCTCCTTTAAAAAAAAACCTACCCGGCCCCCAGGATGCATGCGTGCATAAGAGGGTAGAGGGGCTTGGCCTCCCTCAGTGCAGGTTCCTTTCGAATCCCAGGGCCAAGATGGCTTCCCCTGGGATTCCGGAAAGAGGAATCTAAGCTGTGCTTTCTCTCACCGGCTGTCTGTCACTGAGTGTCTGCTCAGCCTCTCCTCACAGGGATTATTATGCTGATTTGCCCATTTCCTCTGAGCTCTGCTGTCTATTTTGAACAGGGTTTCTGCATTTGGGGGGGCTCCGGACTGCTCTGTACAACTATATTTTTGCCCGAAAACACCGAGGCAGCTTTATCCTTCGACTGGAAGACACCGACCAAAGCCGGGTGGTATCGGCAGCCTCTCAAAACATAGAAGATGCATTGGAGTGGGCAGGTAAGGCCCAGAGCCTGTTGAAGGGGATCAGGTATGCCTGGGGGATGTGGGGGTTTGATCCCTTTTAAAAGCCTTGTCTTTTGCTATCATTTTGGCAATATTTTTCTGCCAGTGTGTTGCCCCCCCTCCCCAATCATCTCTAGGGGCCTGCGAAATGTTGGGGGGAAGGGGTTACATGTGGCTGCAAGCAGTCCGTCCCTGTTCCAGATCCACTTTCCAGATATTAGAGGTAGGTGTTCTGCCACACTGTAGAAAGTGTGGATCCTGTTCTTTGCTCAGTACACCTCCTTGCAGTAATGGTCCCTCCAGTCCCTGTTTCTAGTCCTGTTGGAGGTTTAACCCTCATATCAGCAATAGGAACTGTACAGCTTCCTAAAGTCTGTTGGTGCATTTTTGAACACTATGCAATGATGTCCGGAGTACAGAGAGTTATCCTTCCTGCTGTTGATCAGCCTGTTTGGTGTTGGGAAAATTCCTGCAAGACGCTTGTAGCCTTCCTTGAAGTCTTGTCATCAATTGATACTTGTGGTTGCGTCTTCCAGGGTCTCTGTACTTCTTTGGGTAAAGAGACCTTAGGAGCGTGATCAACCTTTAGTCCCTCAGCCTCCTGAGAATGAAATGTGGGAACTTTTAACGTACCAGTGGATGTGCCACCAATTGGAGCCCTTCTGTAGCTTATCTTGAGGGTGGAGGGGCAGAGCCTGTGTTGCCAATGGATTGGGCTGGACTGTGGTTTTTGTCGTCACTTTGTCTTGCTCATAGTTGTTGCCTGCCTGCAGGCCTGGCACCGGATGAGAGCCCTCGCCGGGGAGGCCCTGCTGCCCCTTACCAACAATCCCTACGATGTGACCTATATAAGAAATACACAGACCTGCTTCTTGAGAAAGGGGCTGCCTACCACTGTTTCTGCACACCCCAGCGCCTGGAATTATTAAAGAAAGAAGCACTGCGCAGTCAGCAAACTCCACGGTGAGAACTGTTGATGTAGTGAGGCTAAACCTTAGCATCAGACTCTTAAATTCTTGCTTTCTTCTGTGGTTGGTGAAACAGAGATAAACACTGTCCCCTAAAGCCGGCGACTAGCGGAGTAAAATCCTCAGGGACCCCTTTTTTACCTGTGGTTGGAAGAGGAGGCTAAACAAACAGGAGTAACTTTAGTTTTGCAGAGTTGGTGTTTTTTTCCTCTATAGGTATGACAACAGGTGTCGTCACCTGAACCCGAAGGAGGTTGCTGAGAAGGTATCTCAAGGCGTTGACTATGCGGTGCGTTTTCGCCTGGAAGAGCAGTCCGACCCTTTTTGCGACCTAATCCATGGGTGGAGCAGGCACGAGGTGGCCAGTGTGGAAGGCGATCCAGTGATTTTGAAGAGCGATGGCTTTCCAACCTATCACCTGGCCAACGTGGTGGACGATCACCTGATGGAGATCAGCCATGTTCTGCGTGGAGTTGAATGGCTCACCTCCACTTCCAAACACCTCCTCCTCTACAGGGCCTTTGGCTGGGAGCCGCCTCATTTTGGGCACCTTCCACTGCTCCTGAACGAAGATGGCAGCAAACTCTCCAAGAGACAAGGCCATGTTTTTGTGGAGGAGTTTGCGCAAGATGGCTATCTGCCGGCCACCCTCCTGGATCTCATGACACACTGTGGCTCAGGGTTTGCAGGTAATGTAGTCGCCTCACACAAGGGAAGGAAGGTGAATGTGTGAATTTTCAGAACCATTTGTGTCTTACTTTTTAACTGTGGCAGGGACTGTCGCAGGAGCTGGTATATTATCCTATTCCCTCAGCAAGCACTTTGTATTCTCCCTCTTTCTGGCCTGCTCTTGGCCTCTTCTCCTCAGCCACTGCCGCTCATCTAAATGGTTACCTGGGCTCCATCCTGGGGGGTCTACTTGCTGACCATCAGTCCCACTAAGGCCTGTTGAGGTGGGAATAGTTGTCCTCGCCTTGGTTGGAGATTAAGGGATGGAAGAGGCTGTGGACAAAGTAGGAGGAATCAATGTGATACCTGATTTCTACAAGCCCCTTTGATGTGAAGGTGTCTATGAGGAGAAGCCCAGCAGCTTCTTGATCTGTTTTGCAGAGAACAGAATAGGACGGACACTAAAGGAGCTGATTGATGAGTTTGATCTGAGCAGGATCGAAAGGCACTCGGCCCTCCTGGATTTGAAGAAACTGCCAGAATTCAACAGGTAGAGAAAATGAAGGGGCAGGCAGACATCTGTTGCTCTCTAGCTCCCTCTTCAGTGTTTTGGAGGCTGGTCCTCCTGCCCCCACTGTGATTTGTTTCCCCTCTTGCTTGAAGTTGACTAGGGTAATGGGGGAAATCACAATTTCTTTTCCCAAACTTTCCCAAGATGTCAGTATATACAGAAAACGACTTGGCCAAATTGGCGCTGCAGAGGGCTGTGCTGGGGGTGGATGTTTGGAGTAGTGGGCCACTTTAGTGAGGTGTGTTCTTGTGAATGGTTGCTGTGGCTTCATTCCGCCTCTGCCTGCATTCAGTACCTTCTTTCGCTTAGGGTTCACCTGGCCCAGCAGATTGGAGACGAGAGGCTACGGCAGAAGCTTGTGGCAGAGGTTCAGGCCTCTGTGGAGGAAGTCTATGGCAAGCAGCTTCCGGAGAGGGAGGTCCTTGAAAAGGGTTACATAGAGCAGGTGCTCCTGCTGAGGAGGGTAAGTCGGAAGCAGTTAGTTCTCAGAGGAGTCTCTGGATGCCTGCCAAGCGACAGTGGCCCCATAGATGTGAAGTCTGGGGGGGCGGGGGCGGAGGGTGCATGCTGGTCCTATACTAAGCTAAGGGCAGTTTGGATAAAGGGGCTTTTAATTCCTTCCCTGACTGGCAAGTCAGGCCTGTTTGGCCAGATGGCTGTGATGCTTATTTGGCAAGTTGAGCAGAGCACCAGCTGAAGGCCACTGCCCAGGGGAACAGGACATGGCAGGGAGAAGGCAGCAGGGGCTCCCCCTCCCCTCCTGGGCTCGGCTTCTCAGAACTCCTCCTTCCTTAGGGCCACATTAGCCGCCTGAAGGACTTGGTGTCCCCCAGCTATGCTTTCTTGTGGATCCGACCCTCTGTGCCTTCTGAGAAGCTGCAGACTCTCTCCACTGAGGCAGACCAGATAGGAAGAGTGGTCCTCAGGTAAACTGGCCACTGTCTTGGTGGGGAACCTTGCTCTATTTATGGGAAGAAATTCCTACTTGCCTTTTTCCCTGCTGAGTAAATTTCACTGGGTCTACCATTTGAGTACAAACACCATGTGAAAGAAATTCAAACTCTTGTGATGACATCTCTCTGGTGATTATTGTAATGAAATGAAAGATTCACTTACTGCCAGAACGGTGGCAGGTAAGCATGCAGCTTGAGTTTGTGCCATGCGACTGGTCTCCGGATGCCTGCTGGATTCAGATTTAGTCACTGACACTTCGTGGTGCGTCAGATGGAATCCATCAGTAAGCATTTCTGCTATTTGTCCAAGGCTTCCTGAAAAGAGCCCCATGGAGGTCCCCTGTAGCTCCATTGAAAAGCCAGGTTCTCAGGAATGGGGTTGACCAGCTGGGCCAGCTTCTCTTCTGGTTCGGTCCTCAGCCTGCTCTGGTTTGACTGTCGTCTCCTCCTCCTCCTGAAGGCTGCTGGAAGGGCCAGTGACTCAGAGACCTGAAGAACTTGGCCAGCAACTGAGGCAGCTGCACAAGCAGATAAATGGCACCAAGTACAGCAGCATGATGAAGCTCCTCCGCCTCTCCCTCAGCGGCCTGCAGGCAAGTCTCCTCCTTTCCCCTCTTCTGGGTTTGGCTGTGAACTGCACTGGCCTGCCAGTCCCTGTGCAGTAACCACCCCTTCTGTTTCAGGACGGGCCCAGCGTTGCTGAGATGATGATCCTGTTGGGACCCAAGGAGACCAGTGTTCGCATTCAGGGGGTTCTGTGCAGCCAACCTGCTCTATGAGGGAAAGGGGCAAAGGAAGGACTTCCAAGTGTGGTGGAGCTTGGGAAAATACTTCCCGGGCTTGGGGGCAATGCACAGAGAATGTTTTCTGGTTTTATAGCAGCATGGTCTGGTGTTGATGAATGCTGGGTTCAAATTTAATAGAAAAAGGGAAAATATTAATTAGCTGGATGTAAAGCCCTGTTGAAATTAGATACAGATGAGCCCTAGCATCCTGTTTGGCATTCCTCTTTTGTAGCTCTGGGGAAAAGGATCAAGGATCAATATCTGAAATATTCAGGGGTGGGATTCAGCCGGTTCAGGCAAACTGGTAGTTCTGAGGATCAGCTGCCCCCCCAACCCAACCACTATCCTGTCCTATATTTCCTTCTTTCTGGCTCAGCTGATTCGGCACAACTGATTTCCATGCCTCCGCTGTTCTACTTTCCGGGGCTGCCTTAGAAGATAAGCATCTGAGCTTTAAATTGCGGTATTTTGAGCGCTGCACGCAAGTGCGTTAGGTGCGCGTGCGAAGTGCGCACTGACCGAACCAGTTGTTAAACCGGTTGCATCCCACCACTGGAAAAATTATATAATAGATATGGGAGTTGGGAAATTAGGATCAACCCTTTTATTTTAGTTAAGCCCAAATTTTCTTAATCCGGCTGAAAGTCCAAGCTCAGCACTTTAGGCTGCATGTCTTTTCCAAGAACAATTGGCTTACCAGGCTGGATCCCTCCTCCTCCTCCTCCCTGATTTGCTAGTTTTCTAGGGGCAGGACGTTTCCCAGGGCTGGGGCTCTTGCCACCGAAAAGTTCTTTCTGCAGCTGAACCTCGTTTTTCCTCCTTCCTTCCTCACCTGTGCAAGGTGAGATTGGGTCCTGAACTCTAAGCTTTAATCAATAAAGACTTTCACATTGTGACTCTGTGGCACGACTCATCTTGATGCAGGAAGTGTGTGGGGCCAGCCAGCATGCCACCCAGGGCCGCAACTGGAGATTTTGGTGGCTCAGCAAATGCGGAGCTGCTTCTGCTATATACAGGTAGTCCTCAGTTTATGACTGGAATTACAGTTGTAAGTTATGGTGCTTGTTAAGCAGGTCACCACTTGCCTGTTTTTGTTTGTTTGCAATGGTCATTAAGCAGGTGCAGTGGACAACTTAATCTATTATACCCAAGTGCTTGTTTTGCCAGAAACCAGAAGTAAACTAGTAAAAAACATTGAAAATAGCAGTTGTGATGCTGCAAACAGCTGTAAATGTGAGCCATTGATTATATGGAGGTTGCAGCCATTGGAATTTAGAAATGGGTCATAAGTGTATCTGGGGAGTTCTGTCATAACTTTGTATGGTCACTAAGCAAGGACTATGTCTTCCAAAACAAAGTAGAACCTGCCAAAATACTCAGGTTAAAGTCTCAATTCAATTCATTTCAAACCTTTATTGTCAATGCACAACATGTGTACAATGAGATTGGATGAGCCTCCCTTAGTGCAGCCTCCCCAACACAAAGTACATCTCAATAACTCATAAGTGAAAGAAAGAAAAAACCCTAACCCAATGGATCTTACTAACAAACACACAATCCTATATATATATATATGTGTGCATAACATTACATTATGTTGCACCAATGTAGACATGTTACATACTGTTCTGGCCCTGCAAGTCTATCATACTAAATGGTTATGGTGTTACGTTGCATTCAGAAGTAACCCTTTGTAATGTATTTCTATCCGTGACTGTCAAGCCAGCATACCATACTGTAATGCAGTATGTGAGGATGCTTTCTATTGTAGACCAGTAGAAGGAGGCCATTGGTCGTTGTTCCACCTTGTTTTTCCGCAAGATTCTAAGGAAATGGAGTGTCTGTTGACCACCTGGATCATATTTTTCCAGGTGAGATCTTCACTAAGATGGACTCCCACGAATTTGAAAGAGGAGACCCTCTTCACACAGCCCCCCTTGATGTAAAGTGGGGCGGGTTCCTCTCTCTTCTTCTGGAAGTCTAGCACCATCTCCTTGGTCTTGCAGATGTTTAGGGGCAAATTGTTTCCTGAGCACCATGTGGATAACTTCTGGACATCTTCCCTGTATGCTAATTCATCACCTGTAATAAGGCCCAATACAGTGGTATCATCTGCAAACTTGTTAATCACATTAGATGGGTCAGAAGATACACAATCGTTTGTGTACAATGAGTACAGGTAAGGACTGAGCACACAGCCCTGAGGAGAGCAAGTGCTGAGCACCTTGAGGTAGCCAGCAGTTTGGCAGCTTTTTGGTGGCAGGGAGGGCTATTTAAAGATCCAGCACATTCCAGACACTCCTGGATCTGAAGAGACTGCCTCACACAATATTTGCAGACCTAAACTACAGTTAACAAGTGAAAGGCGAGTGGTGGCAACCAAGGGGTCCATTTCTAGTAGGTGCCTAGGGTGCATTCAGACAAACCTGGGCTGGCTGGAGGAGCAGGGGGCAGCTGGTGTTCGTTCTGCCTGGATCTTTCCCTGGAATAGGTAAAAAGCGATTCAGAGACAGAAGTGGCCTCCCCAACCCTGGGCGGCATGTCGTCCCTTCTTGGCAATTTAGGCTGGGTGTTTCTGGAGCCTCAACCACCTTCTCTGCTGGGACCGGCCCTTCGTCCTGGGACCGAGGCAGCAATCCAGAATAAACAACGATCAGGGAAGTCCCAGCCTGGCTGCTCCGGTTTGTGCATCCTCCTCTGGCCTGCCAGCTCTTGCACAGCTTCCCCATCTGCAGTGCCACCTGCCCCTCGCCTCCCTGCGCTTGGGGTCCAGGGACTGCTTGATTCCCAGGGCAAGAGCGGGGCTGCCTTTGTGACTGTAAAGTGCCCGGGAGAGGACGAGGCGCTGCGATGGCCCAAGAACAAGTGGGGGGTTGACCGGCGGAGGGGAAACGGGCAGCTGCCTGCAGGGATTCGCCTGGGGCTGCAGGCACAGCGCGGGAAGCGGCTGCCCCGGTTGGATTTCCGCCTGCTGCGCCTTCTCCAAGGCAAGCGGGACTGGGAAAAGAGTACCCGCCTCCTCGCCGGGTGTGCTGAGTTGGCGGAGGGCCTGTCCAATCCTGGGGCGCGAGTGTCGGCCGCCAGCCAATCAGCGAAGGGAGTGGACTTCCTGGAAACCCTGGAGAGGCGTGAAGCCGCAGGCCCGACACCAAGATGGTGGCCGAACGCCTTGGACCCGCGGGGGCGCGGAGGTCCAGTGCGCAGGCGCGGAGGTGAGTTGGGGGCATCCCGCCGAGGGGGCCAGCAGGTGAGGGGCGCGCCCCCCCCTCGAGCCCGACTGCTTCGGACCTCCCCGCCCCGCGACGGGGCAGAGCCCGAACTTCTCCGCGGGGCTTCGCAGGGCCTCGTCCCCGGGCTTGGCTGGGTCTCCTTGCTCGAATCTCCTCATGGCGGCGGCCGCCCCTCCCGCTTCGGGGGCCTCGCTTGTCTCCCCCGCAGCCAGTTCTGCCCGGACGCAGCCAGCGGCCCTGCGGGCTGAGTTTTCTCGCTCCTTTTCTGAACGTGGCGGCTGGAAGGGGGGGGGATTCTGGGAATTGAAGTCCGCCCATCTTCCACTCGCCCCGTGGAGGCACGTAACAGGAACAGAGTTGGAAGGGACCTTGGAGGTCATCTAGTCCAACCCCCTGCTTAGGCAGGAAACCTGTACTAGGGATTCGAACCGCCGACCTTTCTGATCGACGAGCTCAGCGTCTTAGCCACTGAGCCACCCCGCCAGGCTCTGCCTGCTTCCCACAACCAAAGTCAGTGGGGAAGTCAGTAGGAAGTTCCAAGTTCCAGGCCCACAGGCAGATAAGCTGGGTCAGAGAGGGAACAGGAAAGGTGTGAGAATGGCTGGTGCAAACATACAGGAGATGGGAAGATGCACGAACGGAAGTGACCCCAGGGACTTGAAACTTCCCTTCTCACGCCCAGATTTCTGTAGTATCAGAGCTGCAAAAATCAGTTGTCTAAATCAGGGGTCTCCAACCTTGGCAACTTTAAGACTGGTGGACTTCAACTCCCAGAATTCCTCAGCCAGAGACCCCTGGTCTAAATGGTTGCCTTCAAGTCCATTTTGATTTGCTGCTGGATCAGTCCCTGTAGTTCTCTTGGCAAGGTTTTTGGGGAGTGATTTGCCATTGCCCACTTCTTGGGGCAGAGAGGGAGTGACTGGGCCAAGGCCACCCAGCCGGTTTCATACCTAAGGGAGGACTATAAAGCATGCCCTCTCCCAGTTTCTGGCCTGATGCCATGACACCAAACCATTGCACCCTATAAACCTTGTGTCACATTGAACCAAGTTCTTTCCAAGCTGCCATTGTAATCTGTATCCTCCCCATAATCTCTCAACTGTTTTTGTGTTGGCGCCGTTGCATCAGTCTTGGTCCTGGTGGGTGGGTGGCTGCCTGGACTGGTCCCTACAGTTTTCTTTGTGATACTTTCTTGGAAGTGATTTGTCTTTGCCTCCTTGTGAGTCACTGGCCCAGGACCACCCAGCTGGTTTCGTCTCTTAAAATGGGACTAGAACTCAGGGTCTCCTGATTTCTAGCCTGGGTTGCTGCTTTTAACCATGAAAGAGGCGGTGGTGAGGCCTCTCCTCAAGAAGCCGTCCCTGGACCCAGCAATATTGGCTAACTATCGTCCTGTCTCCAACCTTCGCTTCATTGCGAAGGTTGTTGAGAGTGTGGTCGCGCAACAGTTTCCACAATTCCTGGAGGAAACATCCTATCTGGATCCGTTCCAGTCAGGTTTCAGGTCTGGGCACAGCACGGAAACGGCATTGGTCGCGCTGGTTGATGATCTCTGGAGGGCTCGGGACAGGGGTTATTCCTCTGTTCTGGTCCTATTAGATCTCTCAGCGGCTTTTGATACCATCGACCATGGTATCATGCTGCACCGGCTGGAAGAGTTGGGGGTGGGAGGCACCGTGTTACGGTGGTTCTCCTCCTTTCTCTCCGACCGGTCGCAGTTTGTGTTGGCAGGGGGGCAGAGGTCGACCTCGAGGCCTCTCATTTGTGGAGTGCCGCAGGGATCGGTCCTCTCGCCCCTTCTGTTCAACATTTATGTGAAGCCGCTGGGCGAGATCATCCGTGGCTTTGGGGTGAGATACCACCAGTACGCTGATGACACCCAGCTGTACATCTCCACCCCAGGCCACCCCAACGATGCCCTTGAAGTGATGTCCCAGTGCCTGGAGGCTGTGCGGATCTGGATGGGGAGGAACAGGCTCAGGCTCAACCCTTCCAAGACTGAGTGGCTGTGGCTCCCGGCATCCCGATATAGTCAGTTGACTCCATCACTGACTATTGGGGGCGAGTCTTTGGCCCCCACTGAAAGGGCTCGCAATCTGGGAGTCCTCCTGGATAGGCAGCTGTCTTTGGAGGAACATCTGACGGCTGTTACCAGGGGGACCTTTTATCAGGTTCGCCTGATTCGCCAGTTGCGGCCCTTTCGGGATCGGGATTCCCTGTGCACAGTCACTCATGCCCTCGTCACCTCTCGCCTTGACTACTGTAACGCTCTCTACATGGGGCTCCCCTTGAAGAGCACCCGGAGGCTCCAGCTGGTCCAGAATACAGCAGCGCGGGTAGTGATGGGAGCAACATGGCGCTCCCATGTAACACCACTCCTGCGCGAGCTGCACTGGCTCCCGGTGGTCTTCCGGGTGCGCTTCAAGGTGTTGGTTATCACCTTTAAAGCGCTCCATGGCATAGGGCCTAGCTATCTCCGAGACCGCCTGCTGCCACCGACGACCTCCCATCGACCCGTGCGCTCCCACAGAGAGGGCCTCCTCAGGGTGCCATCAGCCAAACAATGTAGGCTGGTGGCCCCCAGGGGGAGGGCCTTCTCTGTGGGGGCACCCACCCTCTGGAATCAGTTGCCCCTAGAGATAAGGAGAATCCAAGACCTCAGTGCCTTCCGTCGTTCCCTGAAAACCTATCTTTTTCAGCAAGCCGGGTTGGCTTAAGAAGAAATTTTAAAATTTTTAAATCCTTTTAATTAGTCTGCGATTTTTAATTTTTTGGGCCAAATTTTATATATATTTTTAAATGTTTTAATATTTGTATTCTATGTTTTTTTTATCTTGGCTGTACACCACCCTGAGTCCTCAGGGAGAAGGGCAGTATATAAATTCGAAATTAAATTAAATTAAATTAAATTAAATTAAATTAAATTAAATTAAATTACTACAAAGTGGCTTTCTTTAGATTTATTCATTAAAATAAAATAAAAATATTAGATTGCCTCATTTGTACACATTCCAGAATGTTGTATCTGTTTTCACTTTAGCAAATACTCCAGTTTCAAATCTGTCCTCTAAGTAATCCTTTGAGGCATCACATCTAGAGAAACAGAGCAGATTTAACAGCGCTCTATTAAAGCTAAAGAATGACAGTCATGACATTCAAGGGTAAATATCCTTGGGCAGGGGATTGGACTAGAAAACTTCCAGCCCTGTGATTCTATATTTCTTTTAATTAACAGATGTCAAATAATAAAGATGCAGCATTTTCTTTAAAATTGTCCTTAGAGTGCAATTTTTTTTCATAAATTCAGAGACCGGGTAGGTAACCTTGATCTTTCCAGATCTTTCTGGTGACAACTCTCCTGGCAGGACTACAGCAGAGGATTTCAAACCTTTTCAGGCACTGGAACCTGTTAATTTTAAAAAAAAAAAACCAGAACCCTAATCAAGAAGCTAAACTCTAAAAAACTTGGTAGTGCCTTGAGTGAACTTTTTTTTTTTGCTCTTTTTTTTTGTTTCATAACCCCATTAAGTTTTCATAGAAGTCCATGGAATATAGTTTGAAACAACCCTCATCTGGGGACAACAAGCTGCCTGCCTTTTATCTCGGTGGCCTTGGTTCTAGTCCTGCCGTAGGCATGAAAGCGGCTGGGTGATTTGGGGCCACTCACTCTGTCTCAGCTCAACCGATTGTGGAAAATAGGAGAAGGAAACTGTTGGATAAGAGTTTGCCACTTTGAGTTACTTATAAAAATAATAAAGGGATAAATACATAAACAGGGAGCAAACGTCACATTCAGCAGTACTGATAATGTTGCCTAGTTGGGTAATGAGACTGCTGCAAGAGAACAGCCAAGCTCAGAGAATACCAAGGACTTCACAGATGATCGTTGCTTGCCAAGTTCATAGAATCCTAGGATTCTGATTTTTGTGTGTGTCTTACAATTCAATCCTCTATCCAGGGCAGAGGTCCTTCGACAAATGGCATTCACAGTAATGCTAACTCCCTATATTCCTTTTTTAAAAATTTAAGACGTTCTGCAGACAAAGCATTTGCAGCAGTGGTGGGTTGCTACCAGTTCGCCCTGGATCGGGCAAACCAGTGGCAGTGACAATAGGCTCCACCCACATGCCTGGGCGCTTCTGCGCATGTGCAGAAGCGTTATGCATGCATGCCAGCGTGCGAGTGCTCACAAGCGAACCAGTAGCAAACTAAATTGAAACCCACTACTGATATGCTGAACTATGGCTTCTGCTCCAGGCTGTTTCCTTTGTATCATCAGGTGCCGCAGTTGCTGACCAGGTCCAGGCGAGGGTGAAGCTGTGGCAGCCACCATGGATTTCTCCAAGTTTCTGGCTGATGACTTTGAGGTCAAGGCCTGGGTGAACGGGGCCTTCCGGGCTGTGCAGCAGGAGGCCCCTGGCAAAGTAGATGCTCACGCAGCTACCCTGGTGATGAAGTTGCAGCTTTTTATCCAGGAGGTCAACAATGCTGTGGAAGGTGATGCTGCTGTCATTGAGGGGAATTCGCTTTGGAAGTTTCAAGGACCACTCCTGGTCTGTGTGGGGGAAGCAGCTGCTTTGGGCAGCTGTGTACAGTTCAGATTATTTTTGCACTGCAGATGTTTCTATCTGACATGAAGCCATTTGCTAATGTTGCTATATCAACATTACACAGTTTAATCAAGACATATTATGTGGTACAGTGGTTAATATAATATAGATATAAATTATAGATATGTATTTAAAACTTTATATTAAAATATAAATATTTATGAGGCTGCCGTTTTAAAAAAGTGGTTAGCCTAAGCTTGTTTTTCTTCTTTTGGCAAGGGTTTTCTCACTTCTAAATTTTGAAGATGGTTTTCTCTGCTCTTTTATAAGAAACTTACTTTTGAGATATCTGAAATGAGGAACACAAATTTGAAATGTAAAGCAACATTTATATTGTCATGTGGACACATAGTGAAAGTGAGAAGAGAGTGAAATTTTACAGTGGTAATAAGATGAA